ATAGAAGAGTGTTCAGTAAATATTACTGAGGTATTTATATTTTAAAGTGCCCCAGATGATAACAGAATTAACTGAGGCAAGTGGCTAGAAAAAAAAATCAACTTCTCTAAGGTTCTCTACCACCATGTGTGGACACAGAATGTAATTTTCTGGACACTGAGGGAATCAACAGTCAGATTTTACTAACTGTGGCATGCAATACTCCTTACCCCTCACACTTACATGTTTTATTCTACATGACAGCATTAGAATATTATCTTATACTGAACGTCTTATGTGACCACATCCAGTGCAAGTCAAGTTCATCTCAGATTGCTGCAAACAACCATTTAATTTATATATCAGTGATCGATGCCATGCTCCACCAAGCACTTTTGCAGTTACCGCTCTTTCTGCTATCATCTTACAAAAGCTACCAAGAACACTATTTTTTTAAGCAGCAGTTTCTTCTGTCTGATGTATCACTGAGCCCCTTCTTCAGCTGGCAAAGGATCTGGGCTAAAAATCCAACTGTGTAATAAATAAAAACACGCACGAACTGAACGGACAGAGTGAGCCAGACATAAAATGGTCTGTTATGCTCAGGTGCAGGGCTACAGACCTCTGCTGGTAAGGGGCAAACTAATGAAATTCCTTTGTGAATAAAACCAGTTAATTAGTCCTTAAGAAATTAATGGTTTAGAACTGAAGAGCTTTAAGTGAATCCTGTTTGTTTCTCCTTTCCTGGTAAGGGACAGTAACTGAGGTCATCAGCATAGCTCGGTACAGGAACCTAAGAGCCAGCAGTAAAGTACACAACCACTGCATAAGCGTCACAAAAGACTGATGTGCAAGTCGATTGACCTTTCAATGGATCAACCTAGGATTTACTATGACCCGCTCATCCCTTGCTGACAATGCACATGTGGGGAGAGGTGGAAATTACTAACAATTTCTACCAGAGGAGTTCAAACTCCATGAAATTCTTTAGGCAGCCTAAAAACTTAAATCACAAACATTAGGTTTTAGTCCCCCAGTTTTATAAAACAGGGTCAAGTGGAAAAGACAGGATGCAAGACTCCAGAAAGGTTCTCACACCTAACATGATGGCTTCCTAGTGTTCCTCCAGTACCTTCCTACTCACCAAGAGTTATTACCTTTGCTGTACTCAGCTATATCCTTCCTTCTGCTAGAGCTCTTCCCCCTCCCTGGTTTTATTACACAATTGAGATCTTTCCAAGCTGCGTTATGCCTTCCTCCTCCTTGCAGCAGTGTATTAACAGGCCCAAGAAGTGGCTACACACAACTTTTAAGAATTAATAAAATAGTCAAAGAAAAACTAAACCAACTCTAAAACTCTAAAAGGAAAAAAAGGCAAAAAGAAAAAAAAAACAAGGAATCCTTCAAATTATTTACTCATATATTGTAGAAGAGTCAAAGTGAGGAAAATAGCATTAATCAGCTGGCTGCTGTCATCAAACAACACTGCAGTGCTGCTAAGAGTGATTTCCTTCAAATGAGGAAGGCAAAGGCAAGTCCCGAGCTCCATTTTTCTTTTAAGAGCCGGCACAGCAACATCCAAACATATGAAATTAATTTACAATTAAGTGATTTCAGTCTGTTTCTAGTTACATGCGGAAAAAAAAAAAAAGATTAAGCAAAAATGGAAACTTTTTATTCAGCCAGATACACTCCGAGCTCAGTTTTCTTGCTCTAACCCTAGCATTAGTCTCAATGCCATCCAACAGTTTTGAGATCATTTCAAGATCGTTGTGGGTTTTCAAATGCTGTGTGCTTGTTCTACAAAGAACAAGAAAAGCCTTAGGACTTAGTGTTTGGAATGAAACACTAATCCCTGTGTTATTGTACTTAGGTTGAAAACACATCAGAAAAGAAAGAGTTAAATACCTCTGGGAGGTTATCCAAAACAACCAGCAAGCTGAGATTTCTAGGACCCGATGACAAACACTGGGGACAAGGGTATCCCTCCCTAGGTAAATACAGAAAGCACAAATATTTGACTAGGTCATGGTGGCCTTCTGCACGGGTAGCTCAGCTACTCACTAAACTGTGCCTGGGTGCTGCACTTTCTTCACCTGCTCAAAAGCCTGAATATCAGGAAGACAAAAAAAAAAAATCATATAAGCAGAGAAACAAAGGCATAAAGAATCCAGTTCTACGGTGTGATTACGGGATTTAACTGAGCGGGAAGGACGGCAGAATATCAGGTTCTGCTTCCTCTCTTCACAATCGTTTTTTTGTTTCTGACTACTTACAAGAAAACGGCTCCGAGAACAGAGACCAAACCTTAACACTTCCCCCTCCCAACTGTGTGAACAAAAAGGTGTGGCTGAACCCCATGCAGGCAAGGACATGTTTTATGAGCTTAAGAGACCACCAAATACCAGGTTTTCCAATGGGTTTAGGGGCAGCTGTGCATAAAAGCATATTTTCTGGGTCTCATTGTGGCTTTTACCACTTCTCATCACATGTGTAGGCTCCTCAAGCACTTTCAGACCAAAATTACACACACGCAGGGAGGACACTGGTATTCAGGATTAAAACATCTTAATTTGGTCAAAGATTGTCTTTTTTTTTCCTCTTCTCCTCTCCACCCCCACCTTTTTTTTTTTCTAACAATACAGAACTATCCTAGAAGGACAGTAGATGCTGTTTTCCATCATTCTGCTGGGACAAAGCTGTCAGAACCATCTATCCACAGGATCTTTGTTGTAGGGGTGGGATGAAGGAAGAATGGATGCTCTTAAAGATTTTTCTGATCTTAGCATCGATACTAAGGTTGTCTTTAGCTCCCTGGAATGGTTCCTTCCACTCTTATCTTTCTCATATAAAAGTTTTTAAAATCTACTGCATGAGGAGCGGATCAACATCCCATCACCAGCTGCACTCAACAGCAAGCACTAAGTTGTCGCTGTAGAGCCCGTGCGCTCTGTGGTCATTCAGAACAGAAAGATATTTCCAAGATGTGTTTTTTATCCTGTTACATTCTCGCCCTACAAGCCAAAGACCCCATTACCTATTTGCAGCCCAGGTGCCTAAGCAAAGCCTCTTCCACTGAGCAGACACCAAAGACAACAGAAAGCCCACTACGTGCCATCAGGGCCAAGCCATGTTCTCTGATGCCAGTCCTTCTCTTAACTGACACATTTTGTGTAAGCCTCATTCAACAGCCACCTACTTGGTTCTTATTCCCACTCTTGTCACCAAGGGACTAGATGCATAGTTTTAAACTGAGTTTTCCATTAAGTCCCCAATGCATTAGAAATGGCTATTAAATCTACCTTCTCCCCCTTGCCCCCCCCCCCCCCCCAAAAAAAAAGCACTGAAATGAACACCCTGAACCAGAGGAGGATGACAGCAGACAGCAGAAGGGCTTCTTGCATCACTTTGTTTCTCAGAAGATCCACGTGGCAATTCTGTGCCTGCGAGGGAGATGGCAGGCACTAAAGCACAGCAGGAGAGACACTGTAGGAATCTGCAACATATTGCTGATGCGTGAGTAGAGCCAGCCCAAGTCTACCTCATGTGAGTGTACCTTTCTCAAACACTACCAGGATGAACTGCTTTTTATTTTAGATAACAGCACCTTCAAAGTCACGACAGCGTAAAAAAACATGAACTTTCACACTTCATGGCATACACCTGGGAACTCTGGTCTGATGCAGAAGTTTCTCCTAAACCATAACAACACTTACCAAACTCAAACTCTGAATGGAGAGCAGCCTGATGTTGTTGTGTAGTATGCAAATGTACACACCCGTGAAGTAATGTTAACCCATCCCCTCAGTCAATGCATAGAGAAAGCTAAATTTGAGTCTAGGGCATAGCTGCACAGGCTAAAAGTCCCTCCACAAGTACAATCCTGCTGCATAAAAAAATCTGGAGCACATTATGGAAGAACACTTACCCCTTCTGGCCTTAAGAGCTGTTGGTGTTCAGCCCAATTAAAGCAAATACAGGCTGATTCAACTAAAGATCGCATCCTGGAAGAGCCATGAGCTCTCAGTTCTTACTGACCTTCAGCAGAAAATAGGGTCAATATGTTCAACACCATGTCTTGCAGTATATAGGCACAAAAACACATTACCCTCATCGCTGAAGCTACAGCTGCCAGAAGTTGTATTAAAAGTTCTCACTTGTTACAGCAATATTTATGGTCTGTACTGGAGCCCAGTTTGCTCATGCTGAAAACAAAAAAAAATGCCTCTGAAGCTGCATTAAAAGAAATTAAATCTGATCTGAAGCTGTCACAAGAATCTCTATGCAAATTATGTCTGAGAAAATGTTGGATGTTATGAGATAAAATGGAATTTAATCTTCAAATTCTATTTTGAAAGTAAAACCTAGCAAAGCAGGATGCCAATTTCCTTCTGAACATAACTTACGGTAACAAACGCATTCCTCTTATAATGCAGAGGAAGACTGGAATTTCAGTCTCCACAAAAGGCTTAGCCAAAAATGAAGCAACATTGCACATACAGCAAAACTAAAGTAAAAGCTTCTCCAATTTGCTCTCAGTATTTCTGAACAGAAAATAATTCTCCAACTCAACCATCTACGCATCTACCATCTCTTTGTAAAACTGTTTTCTCCAAAAATTACAGGTCTCTTTTCCATTTATTAAATATTGTCCAGTATTGCTGAAATCCTCTTTCATATTTCTCCCAGTTTTTGGGGTTACACATTCTGTTTCTTAATACTTCTAACAGCCCCTTTCACAATAGTCTCTCAGAAGGATTAACAGCACAGCACAAACACTCCAAGAAGAAATAAATCTTACAGGACAAAGGAAACAGAGAACTCAGCCTGACTGAGATGCATGTTATAAATACATTTACTCAGTTAAACTTGCTTCAACTTGCTTTTCTCTTCAGGTGAGCATTTCCAACCAACACTCTCCGTACCCCCCCTCCTCCCTTTCCAGTTCTTTACCCTAGAATTTTCTGCCTAAGGTACACAAGTTAAAACTATTTTTCCTAAATACAGTTTTCTTCTCTTAGTTTTAGTCTGTTCTCTACCTAAAAGAGGAAAGAAGATAGAAACACAAGCCAGAAACATGCACTAACCTTGTGACCATGCCCGACCGACACATAGCTTTTCTGCTGCCACTGTCCCCAAAAGATTGTTTCCTTTGCGACGACAGCGCCATTAGCAGCTTATGACCCCTCTCAGGCATGACAGGCACATCTCTGCACTTCTCTGCTCTCTGCAAGTGAAACGTTGGAAGTGCCTGCGAGAGCTGCCGTACACACCAAAGGAAAAGAAACCGTGCCCCAGCTGCTTGTGCATCTGCGCTGCAGTGTGGCCAGAAGGGACGCCGAGGCAATGACTTGTTTCCTTTGTTACTTCCTGTTTCCCCCCACTGTCAGTGGGCAGCACAGGCTCTGTCAGATTTCCCAATTTCCCAGAGAGGCTGCAAATCAAGCCGTACACGCATCGAGGCTCCGTGAGACAGCAAGCCAAGTAGCGGAGGGGATTTTCCAGTGCTCGCTCGCTTCCTGGCCACCCTTCGATCAACTGCTTTCCCACGGGAGGAAAAGAAGGTGGGCTTTTTGTCTCGCAGCGTGCTCTCACACCAGCAGAGTTCAAAAATGCTGCCCGTGCTTCTGAAGAGCTCGTGCTTCAGGTATTGGCATTGCACCACAACATTATGATAAGTATTTCACCTCTGTTTTCCCCTCTATAGCTGGAGCTCGTCCTTCCCTCTCCAACTCAATGGCTATTTAGAAAGATTGCGCAGCTTATACATGCTTTGGAGCAAGTCTTGTCTGTACATCTGACACCACACAAACCACAAGAGGCAATAAAATTCTTATCCAAGGGGCTTACAAAAGAACAACAATTCTACAGGACAAGTACCAACAGCTGATGATGAATAATAAATGCCGTTGTTTTACACTGGGAACAGTATTATTTTCACTTGGAGCTCTTAAAAGAATTCATATGTTTCACTGGCTTTGTCTGGAGTTAGCCAACACCCTGGGCTAAAAAGTTCAGTTAAGACAAAAAGAACTAGTGTATTTCAGAGTGATCAACAAAACTCACACACGCTGATATGCTGAGAAAAGCTCATTTCGTGTAGTTTGGGGAAAATGGCCATGACTCTGTACTCCAGAATGGAAAGAAGTTTCTATATAATGTCTTCACTCTTTGTAAACTACTCCATAGCCAAAGTGCAGAAGAAAATAACATTTTGGATACTGGCCCTGGCTACACTGGGTGTAAAAGCAAATCGCAGCCTTCACCTTAGGGCACCCACATGCCCTCCTTCCATAACCACGCAAAGTAGGAAGGACAAGGGGTGTGAATTATCAGACACCTGCTGTCAGCTGAAAGGAGCAGTGTATCAAGACAACATCACGATGCTTTTAAATAAGAAGCAATACTCAGCTGACTCAGTGGTTTAATTAACACATCCTTCACAGATAAAAGCTGCAAAGAATACTACGTTTCAGTGGTTTGTGAATTAAGTTCATTTGTTCCACCCCCAGAAGTTGAAATAGGTGATACTAAGACTTAAATAGTTTAAAGCAGTCCTTCCTCTCCTAGTTCTCTGCTAAGCATACTCTTCTGAGCTTGCGTGACCGTTTTGCAACCTTTATCTCTACCTCATTAAAAAAGCTATCATCGAAATGGCAGCACTGAGGAACACTGCAGACCAGCACTTCCGAATACCAGTTCTTCCTTCCCTTTTCTGGCGTGACACACCTTAACTTTTGGTTTTCCCCCTCCAAAGTTTGCAGCTATTAATATCATGCTCTTTGGCCTCTGCAGTCTCGTTTTTAATTGCATTTCATATATCTAACATGTTCTTGAAATACTGCTTTCCTATTTTACTCTTTCTGATGTCCTCTACCTTTCTTCACATAAGGGCTCAGAAATACAGGGTTTTTCACATCAACTTCCAAGATCCCCTTTTGATTTTTCTGGTGATTTCCAACAGTGTCAAGAATGAATATGGAGTTAGAACAGAATCCATAACACTTGCATTCACACAAGCTGGTGTTCCAGTGAGGAACACAAAAAAAAAAAAAACACCACCAACAAAGAAACACCAAAAAGCCTTTATGTGTTTCACAGATGACCATTTATATGGCAGAATGGAATTTCAGCTTAATGTTCTAGACCAAACATTAATCAAATGGACTGTGTTTCAAAATCGCAAATACAGAGTCTAAATAGCCATGAGATCTTAACAGATTTGATTAACACGTTTGTCAGGGAAGTAAAAAGGGAATAAATGTCCTCTTTCACAATGCAAAATTCAGTTTTGCAAGGAACGCTGGCATATGGTTTTCAGATCACTAACCTTCATTTGTCCCCACAAAATCAGTGGGGAGAAGAGGCCTTGCCCCAGATTAGCCCAGGGAGACTTTCAACCAAAAGGAGTTACTTCATTTCTTTAACATTATGAGATTGCACTCAGGGAGAACCAAAACGTCAGAAACCAACAGACATTTGGTTTTCATTCCAGCAGGACCGCTGCTTGAGCAAGACAGTCAGTCATCTCTGCCAGTGTTAGGAACAGCTCTTGCTCCCAGTCAGAAGTAATCCCACCTCCCCCAGGTTTATGGCAAGCAGGAGCAGTACCAGACATACCCAGCACCACGCTGCCCTTGGCAGTATAAATGCACTAGGCTAGCTGAGGGGCTGAGCTGTCTCTGCAGTGAGAGAGCTTCCTCTTACTGACCACTTTACAGGAAACTGCAAGAAGGGACTGCAAATAAAAGCGGTCTGAGAAAAGCCCAGCAAGAGGCAAAGCAGAAAAATTAACAACAAAAAAAAATAGTAAAAAAACCAATTTCCTTTAGCCACAGCGAGTAGTCAGCTCAGTGGTCAGGTTCCACACAGAGTAACACAAGAATTTATACTTTTTACATTTCCATAAAAGCCTATAGTATAGTAAGACATAAAAGCAGACTATACTCTGGTAAAATTCTACTGACTAGTAAGCTTGGATCAGGAGTAGATTATTGTAACTTTTATTTATTAATTTTACCAAATTAGTTTAGTCCCAAGTTTCTTGATCATAGTGGAAAAAACTGGTTCAGTATATTGAACCAGAATGTCAAGAATACACTCTGCAACCACTAATTGTAAAAGAGTAAGGGTAAGTTACTCACCTGAATCCTTCACCTGCTAGGTAAGGCAGTCCTATGAAAATGTGAATAACCACGCATCAGAATTAACTCTGCCAGGTGACCTGCAGAATAACAGTCATAAAAATCATTAACAAAGGGGAGAAATGAGGCCAGAAATACCAAAAACCCTCTTTCAATGCCAAACAAGTTACAGTTCTTTAAACTTCTACCATTCCCTCATTCTGCTTACTGAGGAACAGCTTAAGAGGCTTTAACAATGTATTACATTATATATATATAAATGTAACATAGTGTAAGACATATTTATGTAGGATGTCTTACTCTAGACCATTCATATTTCCTGTATACATATATATGTATGTATAGGCATATACAGCTACAAAATGTTAGCAGTATATGCACAGCTTGTAAAAATCGACTAAGAATCTGCAGTTGGAAGAGAAGGACGGTCTGCAAGCTGTCAATACGAGAACATTGTCATTGACCAGATTCTCTTAATCCAGCTGGCCCTCAAAAATCCTCACTGATGTAAACAAGGATAAGCTGTAGTGATTTAATTTAGCAGAGTTTCCCTGGCATAATTTTCTTTGCTGGTGATTTCATTATGAGTAACTGTTCAAATTAAGTTTAACAGAATTACACTGAATCAAACGGCCCCTCAAAACTTGATAGCAACATCCATCCACCTGGAGAGTTATCTGGGTCTCAAGTCTACCCCAGTCAGACCAGAGCAGTAACACTTGATATATGCAACACTTAAAATGGAAGGCAAATTCTTAAATGCTCGCTGCTTTTCACAGTCTGTTTTGTTTTTCTTTTGTTGTTGGTTTTATGATAAATTCAAAGACACATTACCAAGACAAGATTTCCATTCACGTTTACCATTGAAACCGGATGGATGCTCCTTTTAACAACTGGCTATACTTGAGGTTCTTGTAAAGAAGAGCGTAAAGTAAGCGCAGCCACAGTTATGAATAAGTGGTATCTTTCACCAGCATTTGTGGCACAACTTAGACGTGACTATAGTTAAAAACTATAACTAAATAACTGAAAAGCACAAATGTGACTGGCAATGTCCTATTCCTGCATGCAGTTGTGCTGCAGACAGCTGCAAAGGGAGTTTCCCCAAATACATATATCCTGAAAGTGGGAGTTTCCACAAATTATTTATTTCCCTGGCAGATTTCCTCTTTCAGATATTATGGTTGAAACCATAATACCGCTTCGCTATTTTGTAATGAACTGCATACAATTCCATTACTAATGCACTCTATAACCGATGATTTAGCCAGCACTGTTGGACTCCAAAATAAATTCTGCCTACGTTCCAAAACACCTCTCAGTATTTAAGCTATCAATCCATTAGTAAATGGAACACTAACATAAAGACTGTTAGAAATTCACAAGGGAGATTCCAATAGCCATTGCGGATTATAAAGCGTATCGGATAGGTACATTTAACCTACAGATGTCCCACTATTAAATTTGAGTCTGCTGTTAGGAAATATCTTTTTTTCTTAGAATTTTATTTAAATCAGTTTAAAGGATGTCAAGAGTACAGGTGTAAGGAAGAAAGGTTGCAAAAAAGCACATTTGATGCCTACACTGACGTTCACCATTTTCTACCACTTCTAACACTAGAGCATTTCAGCGACAGATAGCATCCTCTTGAATGTTTATCAGCAAAAAAGTCCATTGAGTAAATAGATTAATTCTATCACTGATCCCAGTAACAAGTTTCTAATTGAATAAGGAGCCACAGTTATGTCATCCATCAAAGCCCTTCAAGCTCTGTGTCCCTCTCCTGGTGGCAGTCGGTAACACTATACTGAACGAGTACACCTCTGCAGGCAACGGCTGCAACCAGCACCGAAAGAGGAAGCTCAGCTTCTGTCAAACCCTTGGAAAACAAAACGAGACAAACATTTGCTATTTTTGTTTTGCTTATAAAGAGACTATGTGATAAAATTTAAAGACCAAGTGTAACCACAAAGACTTTCTCCATATTTTACTGCTGCACAACGCAGTAGATGGTGCTGGTTTCTAACAATGCACTGAAGCATCTCAGAGATTGCTTTTCTTACACTTGGAAACTCTGACTGCACACCAGAATCTCAAAATAAGCTACTAACCATGCAACTGTAATTTATAGAATGAGACGGTCCGACTAGGCTATAATGCTAATGGACAGTCCCCACCTCCAAGAGCTTTGAAGCCTCAGCAGACAAGAGGACAGAAAGAATATATTTGCCAAAAGCTAATTTAATTAACACGTGAAGACGAGTACTGTGCCCCAGACCTCAGGCAGGCAAGCAGGTGGTGCAGAAACAAGGTTTCTTTGATTCCAGTGACTGGTCCCTTGTAAATCACGATATGAACTTCTCTTAAAGTAAGGTGTATGAATTTTGCCACTCCCATCTCCAACCACCAAAGACTAAATCAAAGGACTGAAACAGGCTGGAGTATGGATTACAGTAGCCAGAATTTAAGGTCACAGTATGTTTCATCACTTCCATGAATACTTGCATGCCTTTATTTTAAATGCACTGGAAAGAAGATTCTCTGCAAGCCCGTGCTTACCTTCTACAAAAGTTGAATTCAACTGTAACCATGAGATCATGCATAGCTGGGATTTTAGGGGACAGGGAGGTTGAATAAAATAAACCTATAGCTATATATATATATATATAAAAACATATGTACATTAATTCATTTTAAAATGGTGTATAGTATAAACTCAAGCAACCTTACTAGGCTTCTTAGCAAGATGAGCTACAAAGGATACCTCACCCTTGTGCACTGTTCTTCCTAAAAGTTTCCTTTGCAAAGCTCTTTCAAAGCAGCGCAGCCAGACCCCTTACGGAGCTGAACCGGCAGTAGTAGAAGTACACTTTTCATTACAATGTCCAAAACCTTGTGTTTTGTGCCCTGCCTAGAGCCAGTGGCCGTGATCTCCAAGGAGCCTGTGCAGCGTGCTTCCATTTCCAAGCTCTTGTATTCCACAGAACGCAAGGTTTGGCTTACAGATGGAGCATGTAGTGTTTCAGCAGAAGCTTTTACAGTATTTATGGAGTATCTTGCTTTTAAACACACCCTGAATATTCTTAAGCCCTTATAAATACAAACCTCTTTCTGTACACAATGAAGGACTGAAACTGGATCTCACTTGCACAAAAGAAATTCAGGAATTGGGGTCAGTGGATTAGTCTTGTTTCAAACTAACAAATCAAAGCTGACATCTCTGCGTGCAGTAAACACAGCAGCTCTCCCAGAACCAAGCCAAATGACTGACCGTACGGACCACAGATGCACTGATTCAGCTGCATGTTTCTGGCACCACAAAACAGAAGCTGTACAGATGCTGAGCTTTAAGGAAGAGGCTGCTGTTTCTGCACGCTGATGGTATTTGTGACGTTTCATATAGCATGGAAACTATACAGGCAGATACACAAAGTCCTCTAAAAAACTGCACTTACCAGAGTGTGTACATGTATTGCAAGGGTGTTTGGATCTACAGTCCTGAAAAGAACTCTCAGCTCTAGAGGCATGCTAGGAAGTGTAAGAAGTGCATTAAACACTGCCCAGAAAGGCTCTCCTTCCTCCAGGAAGCACCAGACGAGCTTACGGAACACAACAGTCATCTGATGTTAGGCAGTGAGCTGCTATGTTAATGAAGGGCACTGCCCTGTACCTCTGGGGGAGACCAAAACCTAGCAGTCCTAACGCTTCCAACTAAAATTCCCCCATTACATACTTGAAAAATGTGTCTACCAAATTTTGTAACATATTTCCAAATTTGGCATCATGGGTTGGCAAAGGTGCTAATAGTCACAAAGGTGCACAGTTTATGAGATAACCATTGGAGATGCATCTTTGACAGCCTAAGTAATTTTTGCTCCCAAGAATCACCTTCATGCAAAGGAAAATTACAAAAAGCAGTTGGATTATTTGCTGTGTCTTATCACACCAGAGAAACAAAAGCACCATTACAGTTATCAAAAGGACATCCTGGAAAATAGCTTGTTTTAGCTTGTAGAACTGCAAACTCTTTCCACCTCCTGCTATAAAAGTTATATTCTATCTATACATGTGCATGTTTATATGCATACACTATATATATATATATTCATATGTAAGAATAAAATCTATTCTTTCAAAAGAAACACCTTTAACGAAGAGCAGCATAATACTGAAGCTTTGATTAACAACAGCCTTGCATTTGTGGCTCTTCTGTTTTTCTTGGAAGAGCCGTGAACAGATGGCGGCTAGGTTAGTCCAGCTAGAACATGGGGCCAAATTTTTCTAACTATATAAACAAATATATCCATTTTTATTGGCATCTAAGCAAGGATAAATATTAAGATATCAGAGATGTAATTGTTCCTCCTCCAAAGGCCTCTTCCCCATAAGTAAAAAAGAAATGAAGAAAGAGCAGTAACTTACAGTTTCACAATCTTCTTAAATAAGTCAGATTCTTCACAAGATTTAATAATAATTGTCTATTTTTTAAATGCAGACAAAATACAACTATAATAAGTTACTAAAGAATACAAAAAAAGTGTTGTGGTTTGTTTAATGGGCAAGAGGAACATAACAGAATTACTGCACTTCACTTCCTTCCTCTCCTGTGTAGTCTACCTGAGAACCAGCAACTGGCGTGGCACGAACAAAAGCAATGGGCACAAACCCTGCGACAGTTACAGCTTAAAACTCTTAAAGTTTGGATTTTTTGATCATTTGGAACGCTATGTAGTTTTCTTTACAATTTTCCATTCCACTTTGATAGAGATGCAACCATTTGGTTAGAAATCACAAGGAATCTGCTCCCCAAGACACACCTTGCCTTTTGGTATTTTGGCTGTTCTACAGAACACCACCCTCACTCCTCATCCCAGTACAAGTTTCCTTCTCCTCTTGCTAGGTAAGGATGCTGAAATATTGCAACATAAAGCCATCAGACCTTAAGCACTATGTCACACTAAGTCATGAATAGTGGCATAGTTTATCTGCTTCTTAGCACAGGACATTAGGAACACCTCAGATTTATATTTGCTTTTCACGTGGACCTCCTGCCTGATTATCAAGCCAAGTTCTTTTTTCGTCATCACTGCTCAAAAAGCTAAAACCCCAACAAGAAGAAATTAGAAAAAGGAAAGGAAGCCTGGTGAACATCACTACCGCAAGCGGTACAGACTGTGTGGGAGGCAGGGCTTTCTCACAGGTTGTCTGTGACAGGAACAGCTTCTGCTTCCACGAGGCAAGAATGACACCTCACAACTCCTGACCCATGTGCCAGGTGTGCTTCTTCCACGTACCTTAACACAGACCCAGAGCACTTAAAGCAAGCTCCTACCAGAGTGCTAGACTACACACCTTGTGTCATTTCCTCAGGGCTGCAAAAATGACAGAGAATAAGTAACACATGGCAGCCTGGTAACTCAGCATGCTAACCAGAGTGGTGGAAGTGGCACAGATCCACCCATTCGTTCATTTCCCCCTTCCTGGCTGAAATGGAAGAGGCCATCCCAGGAAGGATGGGAATTGACCAGGACCGCCAGCTGAAGAGTTTCAAGCAAAAAGCCTTCTGCCTGCCACATTTTGTCCCAAAGATGCTGTTGCAAATCCCTCCTGCTTGCCTTTCTCTCAACAGGTGGAAAACACTGATCGAATGCCATCCCCTTTGAAGGAAGGCCTTCAGCCCTGGAAGAAGATTCCTAGCTCCCAGCTCAACAGCAGGCTTCCTGCTGCTAGGTCATTACTCAGCAGCACAACGTTAGACCAGAGGTTAGTACATCTTCAGGAATTAACATCTTCACTAATCCCTTGCACCACCTGGCAACCTGATGTTGCTGGGGAGCTGAACCATGCAGAGCAAGGGCAGGAACAGCATTGGTGGAACTGCCACGTCACCCCGGCGGTCCTGTCACTCTGCCAGGCAGGGAGGAGGAGAAACACCATGCAGGGGATGCCACGGCGCCGTGGAGGAATGGTTGGGCACCGATCCAACAGATACCTGCAGGGCTTAATGGCTTTGATACCACTCAGTACCGCGTGCATTTGGAAACAGCATTCCATCTTATCAGCTTTGCTGCCGCTGTTACTGCGGTGGTTATCTGTACCTCGAAGCTAAGTATGGGATGCTCAGCAAATCCACACGTTCTCTGATAATCTTTTAATTAGCCCTTTCAGTCACTTTGGTCAGCATCTTTCTGAACTCCAGCCATTTTCACCACAGCTGTGATATCTGCCCAGGCAGAGAAATAGGGGCTTTTTTTTTTTTTCCTTGGGGGAAAAAGTTTTTAAAAGTGACTCACTGAGGCTTTGAGCTCAGAGGGAAAAAAGAATTTCACTGTGAGTTCTTCTCGTAACAGCTACTCATAAATACAATGATTTCCTCTATAAGTGGCTAGAGAATAGCTACGCTCTCTCCTTCTGTTCTCCTACTTTAACCTTAAAAGCACACTTAGTGCATTCCTCTTTCCCTTCCAAATTTCCCTCCCTCCCCCACTGCACGGTCACACACCAAGCATTTATCTAGCGTAACCCCAGCACCCTGCCATGCTTAATTGACTCCTGAATAAGAGTACCCACACAAGCTTATTGATGGGATAGATTTGGGCATAGGATAAGTTTGGGCCAGGCTATCCATCAGCCTACTGTTTGCATAGGTTCTCCTAAATCCAGGACCACAACTCCATCATATATAATCCCACTGGTATTCCTGCTCTTTGGAGAGAAGTACCAATCTTACAGCAAGACATCTTTGCCCTCGCTGCAAAGGGTATTTTGACTTATCAGAAAACCCTTCTTAGTTCCTGTAGCATATATTCACCTATTTTTGTTAAACACAAGTCTCTGGTTCAGAATCACAGTACATATTGTCCCACACAGCAAACAGCAGAGACAACACTAGAGCGCCCCATGCTCTGACAGGGGATGCCCACTCCGACAGCAGGAAGCGTATTTCCCCCACAACATGTACAAGAGGCTGTATACAGAAATCCCACTCCACTCACAGAATTGCACAGTTAAAACTGTGCCATACTTTGGAAACGCACAAATTTGGCTCAAAACCAGAGACTGGTTAACTGACTGAAAAGGAACGGTAAAAAGCTCCGATGTTTAAGCCTGACTGATTCAAGAAAGGCACTTACCAGTTACAGGTTCTCAGCAGCTGTGCAAAACAGGACACTTTTGCCTAAACATAGCTCAGAGGGCCTTATTTTGATTAGCAAAGTTTACAGATAGGATCAGTCTCGATTTAGCAAATTATAAGCCTTTCCTCTGTCCATAGGACCTTTAGGCTTACAGGCTAGATTTCTTAATGCTAGATTTCTCTCTACATCATTAACAGGACAAAGTAGAAAAATATTAATTTTTCTAAGAATCCAGGAAAGTACAGAAAACAAAGCAAAGGAGGAGACTAGCTCTCACACAAGCCTATGTACCTGAAGTATATAGTTTTATTAACACACGGAAAAATGAGAAGCAGACTTCAGTTGGTCAAAACTGTGCAATTGCTCAATTTGGATAGAGGTGCACAGTATGAGCTAGCAATGTCCAGCAACAGCCTGGGCTGTCTCTGCAGTCAGGCCATACTGCAGTGCTCCAAGAGAAGGGATGCTCTCGCTTGAAGAAACTGCCTTGCACCTGTAACACATCAAACTCAGCATCTTCAGTGTATATAGCAAGTTCCAGCTCGATGTAGGAGAACAGTTATGTGACATGTTGGAATAGGATTACTCTTCAGCACTGTCAGAGTAACAATTTACTCTTTTTAGTAGGGTTGTCACAAGATTAGAGAGTAGGAATTTAAGCCTCTGCTGCTTGGTTGCAGGAACCAGCTCTCACGGTTAGCTACGTTCTCGTTTGAATGCTAACCTCAGCACTTGCACGCACGCAAGCAACTTCTGCTGAACCGAAGGGGAACTAAGGAGACCGAGATGAAATTTGTAAGGACAAGGCATTTAAACTAAAGCTTTTTACTTCATAGGAGGCTTTTTAAAATTTTTGCAAATATTCCAATGGAGAGATTGTCCCTTACTTATCTCAAAATGGTAAGAAGTATGTGAAATGTTGAAAAGTGATTTAAGAGAGCTAATAAAACATGAGATTAAGGACCACTTCAAAGAGGATTTAATTTGGAATAAGATTTGCATGCAGATCCTGAAAAGAAATTTTGGATCAAATCTAGTTTTTACTTTTATGGTGTAACACCCAAAATCAGAGCTCATGAGACATTTAAACTCAAAATGAGCTTTGGGTTTTTTTCTCTCCTCAATAGACTACCATTTATTTAATAGGAAAATATGCAAATATTTATAAAAATGACTGTTTCCAGAATGATGATTAATTTCTATCATTACACTAGCCGAAGTTAAAAATAGAACAGGGAAACAAAGCTTCCTACCGAACCACATTCATTTTTTTCTTCTTCTTTCAGTCTTTCAAGTCGTATTTAACCAGATAACACTGAGGTATTCACAACAATCTACTTCCGCTGCTCTTCTTATTTGTTACTAAATGGTTATTACGTGAAAAATGAAAATGAAAACAGATTTTTACATTTACTGGAATCTGCTGCAGAATCTGATACGCTGCCCTAAAGTGCTCCATAAAGAAAAATAAAGACATTTCAGTGACTGACTTCAGCACAGAAAGGCTCTCCTGAAGAGAAGGAAGCTTATTTGTCTGGAGAAGAACTGAACATGAAAGTGGAAATTGACGTGTTAAGCGAGATTTCCCTCCTCCAAGGGTTCTTGGTTTTTGTTTTGCATAGCTTTAAATGAAAACCTCAGTGCTAATACAAGACGAAGCTGGAGTTATTTAAAGTCACTTCAATGTAAGAACATTTAGAATTCTGTGTTGCTTTTGGGTTTTGTTTAAAGATTAATATTGCACAGCAGAGGTTCATGGTTCATCTGAAGAGGCAGACAGCACGTGAATCTACACCTGGCCTTTTTTCCAGTCTGTTAAAGCAGATTAGCACCCAAAGATGCAGTGCAGCTGGCAGCTCCAGGGTGGCTGACCTGAACAACGAGGAGGTGCATTAATACTCAGAGTCACAATGGAGATGGGGTGACCAAAGCCCACCCTAAATTCACATTCTTGTCCTCACAGAGAAAACTCATGCATGCAGACTACTTTCCAATGATCCAGCATGCTGCATTTTTTGACCATATTAGTACTAAAACTAGGAATCCTAAATCTTCCTACCTGTGTCTACTATCCTCCCTCCTCTCTTTGTTTGGATCTGCCACATACTTCTGAGAAATCTTTTGCTTTTAGTCACGTCTCTGTTATGCAGAGATCACCTTTCATGATGAGTCTTGCAGCACACTTCCCATCAGCTCTTCCTCTAGCCAACAACTGAAACACAAGGATCATTGCGGCAGCGACAGATCCAGACACGCACACTGGTGCCATAGGACTCTCAGCCTTTTCTTTCCAAATACTGTCAGAATTAGGGATGAGGAAGGTAATTAAAGCTCCAACACGCAGGCTGTTTTTCAGCAAGATGAGACTAAGAGCTTAACTGGAACTCAGTGTTCAGACAGGGTGCTGGATTTTGCAAACGAGCTGCAAGACAAGAGATAAGCTGTAACAAAAGCAGTGGTCACAACACTAAGAACTGGGGCCTTTAATAAACTTCTGGTCAAGGTGTTGCTGCTCCTGCTTTGCTCTAGGAGTGAACAGCTGCTGTCTAGAGGTACAAGTCAGCCAGTTTTGTGGGAGGTTTTTGTTTTTTTATTTTAAAACTCACTTAGTTATAGTGAAACTGACACAGTGCCTGAATTTTAGCAGTATTGCAGTGCTGCTCCATCTGTGCAAACAACACACCAGAGCTGCACAGCACAGTTAAAAATAACTGCTAAGATCAAAGAGTCAATCCATTTCCAGTCTTTCTGTCACCCCGATCATTCTGACAGAGGAAGGAGAAAGCAAGCAAAAACCCCCACCTCTGCCTGGAGGCTCCATCACAGCCTGTCACCATTTCTGCAGGTATGCTGAAAACAGCCAAAAGACAGCGATGCAGCTACCAGGCAGGGGGAAAGAGGGAATGGGAGGTGAGCAAACAAATCACCCTGACATGATGACCACCCTAACATGGGTGTTCAATGAGTGTACGTAGCAGAAGACAGATGCTGTGATGGCATCTGCTTTACAGGGCAAAAACAATGCTGTCTACACAGAAACCCTGACTAAATTCTGCCTCTGAAGAACTGAAGTAATTTAGAAACTGCCAGCTCTGCAAAAGTGCCCAGAGCATTGGAAAAGCATCTTTATTTGTCATGTTTAAGAAGCACAAAATGTTGCCAACCACTAAATTTGAGTCTCAGTTCTTTTAAGGCTCCAGCTACTATGTTGAGAGATTTTAGGATTTTTAAAAGAGCATGTTATCCTTCAGTTAGAGGAAAGACTGCAAACATACAGTGCACAAACCCTGAAAAAACTGAGTAATAAATGCTTGCTTAAAATATATGCAACTCTCTCTTCTTAGAGACCTCACTCATTACCTCTGTATATTTGTCTAGTGTTCCTATCAAAAAACATAGAATTCTAAAATTTGAGGAAATATTACTCAGTGATGCCACCAGATTTCTTAAAAAAAAATATTAAAGCTCTCATTTTGCTCAGTTGTTGCTCCTATGTAAGTTCTGATGGAAATTCCATTTTCATGTTTTGAGGAAACAAACATCTTTCATTCCAGATTGAAGAGTTCTTACTGGTGAGTTCATGATTAAGGGCACAAATCCAAGTTTCTCCTAGTAGTCTCTCTTATGGTGAAGCTGAAATCAAAGCCTTGATTAAATATGTTCGCTGAGTTTTCTGTTTGGGGATTGTAATATATCCCTGCACTGAAACAATCAAGAACACCAATGAAGTGTTCTACAGTTGTATATGTGTTTTCTGCATGCGTGTGCTCTGTATCAATGCCTACATAAATTAGAGTCAGACATACTTAAAGAACAGAACTCAAAATTCCTGTCTTCCTGACCTAAAATATCCAAGGAAATGGTCTACAATCACAAAAACATGTACTTACAAGATACGGCAGAGTGATTGCATGTAACTATGGAAAAACAAATCATTTACCTTTTAAAAACATACAGATGCAAAGCCAGCTTGAATTAGGAAGTTCCTTATTTCACAACTTAACACTAGAAGAGCATGAGAGAGGAAAAAGTTAGAAAGGTACATGCATTCCCTGGAGGACGATACACGCCTCGTGATGGAAATGCACCTACTGATCCGCTAGGACGGAACGGTCCTGATCATGTGATTAATGACATACAATCTGACAGTCAGTATCATAATTTAGCATAAGCAAAATATTAAAGCTTTCACAATAAGCAGCTGAACAGTGAGAGTTTTCAAACAAAGAGGATGAAAATAAGAGTTTCCTAGGCATCTAGTGGTAGGACTAGAGGAAGCGGCCTCAAGTTGCACCAGGCGAGGTTTAGATTGGAAGTTAGGAAGAAATTTCTTCTCAGAAGGAGCAGTCAGGCACTGGGACAGGTTGCCCAGGGAGGTGGTGGAGTCACCACCGTCCTGTTCAAGGAAAGGTTGGACCTGGTGCTTAGGGACAGGGTTTAGTGGGTGACATTGGTAGTAGGGTGACGGTTGGACCAGATGATCTTGGAGGTCTTTTCCAACCTTCCTGATTCTATATTCTGTATCTTGTCATTTTATCTGTGGTCTTTCCAGAAAGGTAAGATTACAACGAAGTAACAGGTCTGCCTTTCCTACCTCTCTGCAACCACGGATAGAAAGATTAATTCAGAAACAAAATGCAGCAAGCAGGTACTCCTAAAGATAGCCAAAGGATTGCTTCTTTCAGGCCAGCTATCTAGCTCAGCAATTTACAACAATTTTGGTAGACAGATCCAGGCTGTGCACTTTCACAAGGCTAAGATTTGCCAGAACGTTAGGGAAAAACTTGAGAGAGTGCCCTAGGTACAGATCAGAGTCCCTGAATCAGTCTGCTTAAACTGGCCTGTGATGGCGGAAGGAAGAAGCGTTACAGTAGCTGTGCAAGCTATTCTCTTCCCTCCTCCTAAATGATAATTTAAAAAAGCTTGTGGAAGCTGCAGAGACAAGCATTGCTAAGGACAGGTTTGATTTCTGAGCAGAAAACTGTAATTCCTTCTCTGACTTTCCTGCACTGTACATTGCCTTTAAATATCATTCTGCCAAAGACATCCAGATATGTGTAACTGCTGCAATGACACCTAGGAAAAGAAAAGAACTGGGTTATTACTATAAATGAGCTGGCAAGCGAGTAAACTAAATAGGTTATTTGTTGCTAGCATGGTGGGATGGAGGGAGCACATTCAGGTTTGTTTCCATAGGAAGCCATGTCTCTGCATTCTTCCCTAATTATTACTTGGCCTTGTTTAGAATTCATCCCTGGCCTGAGGAAAAACAGTTTTCAGATTCCTGCATGCGTTAAATGAAACGTGGACTCTTCAACCCCACTTCTTTTTAATAAAAGAAAAATGAGAAAGACAACATAGGAGCTCACGGATAAGAGACAAGAATGAAAAGAAGAAGAAAAAACAACAACCTTCAAATAGCTCTTGGAGCAATCCTGTGGAGAATCACTTTGCTCTTAGAAAGCACAGTGCATTGAGAACTCTGTTATGTGCTCTGGTCCAGTCATCTGGCTTCAGCAAGCAATCTGATGAGACGTATGCTTGGACTACACAGCACGAGAAGTAATTCCTTAAGGTTTACAATGATACCCCAAACCGAACAGAACTTCAGTGCCTTCAATTCTTTCCTCAAAACATCACACAAGGTATAACTTGCTAGACATTCAGGCATTAAGAAGAGCAGAAGAGGTGTTTATTAACAAGAGAGTTAGCAATGGTCCATAAATATGAAAGGAATTGGCAATAATAAATGTACATGAGACAAGAGTGTAAAAAATGTGCACTCCCTTTAGCACTGTGTGTATGAAAATGTGCTGTCCCTCTCTTGCTGCCTCAGGTTCCTCTGCGTCCAGGCTTATCTCTCCCATCTTCTCTCCTGACACTGTTGACTCCGTTACAGGTTCAAGTGCAAAAACACAGCAATGTCATCAGGAAGTGCATTTGTGGAATAAATTCACCTTAAAAAGGGCAAGAAACATGCAAGACAAGACAGTTCATGCCTTGCTATGCAAGCCAGGAATAGCTGTCTATAAGGTTGTTTTCTCTCCTACCTCAGAAATCCCCATCAAAACACTAAAGGCATTGTGGCAGAATCATTGTATCGATACTTTCACATCTAAACAAAACCAACTCACTGGAAGTCCCCAGATAAATCCCTTGATAAATTCCCACACTTGTTTGCAGGGCTACCCATTGATTCTACTGAGAGCCTGAGCAACCGTGAAACACCCTGCCAGATCTGGTAGAAGTAACAAGCCAAGATCCTGATCCTACAGCCATACAGATAATCCGTTTTGCAAGTAATAGGGTACTCACATCTGCAAGTACTTTCAAGATCAGGGCTTAAGCCAGGAGCAACTAATTGACACAATGCTTGCAGGGCTGCACATTCCAAATGACTTAAGAAACTGCTGGATAAACTGGCAAGAGTGAGAGTTACCCATTGTCTGGCACCTCCTGCCAAACAGACTGGAAGAAATGCCAGCACCAAATCAACGTCGTCAAGTCAAAGCTCATTCCCCTCCATTACCACAGTCTCATTGTAGTGTAACGCACAGCAATAAGTGCATTAACAACCCAAGGGCTACGGGGTGAGGCACACACAACACAACCACCAGAGGCTGAGTGTCAAAAGGGCTTTTCCTACAGGTAAAACGACAAATGCATAGGTGTGCCTTTTGGTTTACGCTTTTGATCATCCACATTTGTCTTTCAACATTATAAGAAAGAAGTTAACAGATCTTAATGAGTTTCCGTTCTTACTATTCACTACCAAAGTGGCTGCTATGTTTGGTTTTCCACCAAAGGAGGCTACTACATGTCCATTTATGTAAAAATTTGAAGTAGGAGACTTTTCTTGCTACCTCTTTTTCTGTAGGGTAACTAAGTTTTCTAACACAATTAGATTTAAAGCCTGGTCTTAAAAGACCACAAGTCCAGGGGTTTACCTGCATGTGGCATCTTACAGATTCAGTCAACTGATCAGACTGGCCTCAAACACGCGGTGTTTGTCACTCAGACAGCCCTGCCAGAGAGGCCTGCAAGAATTCATCTGTGGATTCATTCTTGGTGGTTTGAACACTTCAAACTTTTTCCAGAACTGGCGTCTCTGTATCTCCCTCATTTACAACTTCCAAAAAAAAGCTCTTTGTTAGCTGGATTTTTTAGAATGAAATTTGTCATGCTTTGTGGAGAAGTTTACGGAGAGCTGGGAGATCTCAAAATCGAAAAACACACAAACAGGAAACAGCGTTTAACCCACCGCTAAGCTGACCCAGCACTGACTCCTCAGGAATGGAATATTGGCAAGGGGTATCTATTAATCAGCTCTCTTGCAACAGCAGGATGGCTCCAAAATACAGTAACAGGAAGGGAAAGGAACATGTGTTATGCCTAAAAGAAAAACAGCAAGTTAGGTTTACTTCCAACTGTAGCTTGAAGGAGGTATCTGAATGAAACAAACTGCAGAGGCTCCAGCTGTACCTTTCCGGTACACATAAAGGTAAGAGCAGAGGAGGTGTATCATTCAGCCATTCATTCGTTTCATACCCTCTTCCCCGGGCATAAACCGCTGAGAGCAGAGTGAAAGTGGACATTTTGTTTCTCGCAGTAGGAAATGCACCAGTTGAATGCAACTAACTTCACACAGGAAGCTCAAGTCCTGCCTGCATGCAGGCCAGCCGGGGTGCATGCACCAGCAGGAGCGGCTCCGCGGCACCACTGGCCTGTGACAGGGAGCAAGGGTGGTCCCATCCCACCACTGACCCATGGCAAAGGGGCCTTGGCGGGTGGGCTGGGAGGAGGGGAAGCGTGTATCCACTTTCGAGATATCAGTATTATTTGTTATCAATTTCCACTGGTCACTTGTGGGACAGAAGTTGACGAATTAAATAAGCACGAGCCATCTGTCCTTGCTCTCTGCAGACACAAAACCACACTCCAGGCAGTGCCTACACCTGAAGCTGAGCAGGAACCACAAGCCTCGACCGAGAAGGCAGCGTGAACCAAACCAGTCTTGAAGAAGACGGCAAGGCTAAAGAAAACACCGTTAAAGATGCACTTGCAGTCTGCATTTCATCTTGAAGAGCTCCTGCCTCATCCTCGAGCACACGCTGTGCGTTATCACTGCAAACCCGCTAGGAAACCGCCCCTGATGCTCACAGCACGCCACCAACACCGCGGCTCGGCTGAAACCGGGCATCGCCTTCACTTGGCGAGGTACGAGGGGATTTGTCCCCCTGCCCCGCAGGGGGGGGACACGGGGCAGCCTCCTGAGGGAAACCGCCGGCCGCGGGCACCTGAGGGAACCACCGGGGAGATGGCGGCGGCGCCGGGCGCGGGCACGCCCTCACGCCCCACACGAGGGCTCCTCCGCGGCGGCCGTGCCCCGCCAGAGCCTCCCCGGGAGAAAGGAGAAGGGAGAGGGGAAAAGGGAGAGAGGAGGAGAGGGGAGCGGAGAGCCGGCCCCACGCGTGGGGCTCCCCCTGAGGCGAGGCGGCGGCCACGCGAGGGGAGCGCTGAGGGAGGAGGGCGCGGGGGCAAATGGCGACGGGGCGCTGAGGGGAGCGGGGCTCTTACCTCAGCTCGGCTCCAGTTCGGCTCCGCCGGCGGCCGCTCAGCCCTGCTCCGGGCAGAGCCCGGCCCCGCACGGCGCTCGCCGCGCCCAGCGCCCGCCCCTTCCTTCACCTGTCGCCTCCCCCGGCCCTGCCCGGGAAGGAGGGAGCCGGGGTGGCGGTGGAAAGCCCCGCCGAGGGGGTCGCGCCCCGCCGGGCTCCCTCAGAGCCGCCGCCATTGCGGCCCGCTGCCCCCCGGCCCTGCCCGGTGCTGGGCACAAGTCGCAGCTCCCGGCCCCCGGGCTCTGCCATCCCCTGCGGGCAGGTGCTCCCCACACAGAAGGGGCTTCCCAGCCTTTGGGATCCCCAGCTGACAGCAGGGTGTCCCGCACGGAACTTGGGCCCTGCCTGGAGGATGCCAAAGCTGAGGGGAAAGCTGCTCGTAAAAGGAGCTGCTCGTAAAACATCTGCAAATCACAGGTTTGTTAAGGTCGGAAAAGACCTCCAAGGTCATCTGCTCCAACTGTCCTACCACCAATATCACCCACCAAACCATGTCCCCAAGCACCAGGCCCAACCTTTCCTTGAACACCCCCAGGGACGGTGACTCCACCACCTCCCTGGACAACCCGTCCCAGTGCCTGACCGCTCTTTCTGACAGAAATGTCTCCTCATTGCCAGCCTGAACCTCCCCTGGTGCAACTTGAGGCCGTTCCCTCTGGTCCTATCGCTACTTGAGAGCTGGCATGTGGTCAGAAAGGTATTTGTAAGCAGTCTAAAAGGTGACTTAAAGGTTGATAAGAAAACGTTCATTTCATTCTCGTGTGTTAAATGTTCATTTAAGACGTGATTTTATTTCATTCACACCTCAGGGCTGTTGCTTTTCCATTTTCCTTTTATTACTTCCCAGATTTCTTTTTCTAGCTGAAAACAAAACAAAAGCAAAAGAAATGTTTTTCTTTTAAAACAAGTAGAAAATTGAAAAATTAAAGTGATACTTAAAAATATAGAGAAGAAAAATACAAAAAAAAAAATGTTTAGCAATTTAGAATGCATTTTCCATCTTGTAGAAATGATACACCAAGTAGTAGTGCTAGTGTGAGATCAGTATTGTGAGAGGTACAAAGCACACACCTTTAACTCCATTTACTTCTGTAACGAGAACAGATGTGAAAAGGCACTTCATAAAGCAATATTTCTATCTAAAACATTGATCTTGGCATAATTCTTCAGATTTATTTGAATAAAGAGCGGCAGGTCCTTTGCTGATTACCCAGCTAATATTTTAAGTTAGTTTTAAAGCCCTTAACCTTTACAATAGCAGTAAATGGTTTCTGTGGTCAGAGAACACAGTGGTGCGGTATTTCCCATGAGTGCCATTTATTAGCATTTCTCTGTCATTCATAAATTTTTGAAGTATGAGGCAGCAAAAAGAATCAATCATTTTCTGAACACAAAAGGGATGGCGCTTGGTCTGTGAAACAAAGCCCTGTGCTGTAGGTACAGCAGAGACTAGCAAAAGCTGGTTAGGAAATGCGGGTTAGCACTGAGCCTTGACTGACTTAGAGCATAAGTACCGTGCTGTTTACACCTACCACCAGATCTGCAGGAGTCTTTATGTAAAGAAAAACATCACTTCAGAGTACAAGGGAGTAATTGCACTGGCAGAGCCTAAGGAAAATGAAGTGCCTTAAGCTTTCCCACGACATGTGTCTTGGCTGCAGCCAGCACCAGCCTTTTCCCCGGCCTTAGCTTTCCTTTGCAGAAGGACTGACAGCTGTGCACAACCGTGGGCAGGCTGTATAACGTGAATAAGTCCCATGAGAAGACCGTAAGAGGGAAAGCTGCTTGTGTGCAACACTGCCACTAAATTCAGCGTGAATTCTGTGTCAGAACATCCTGACTTGGTTGGTGGAAATTACAGCAATTATTTTCCTGTCTGACTGAATCCAGAACTTTTAGTCTCCAGAGAAGACGGATTAGTGCACTGAAAGCACTGAGCTAAAGCAGGTGCGGGGAACCTTCACTTTGTTGGCTGAGTATGCCCAGTGACTTCATTTTATATGGTACAGCCCATGATTAAAATCAGAGCGTGTTATTACTGGACAGCAGAGCATGTCAACGTGTGGTCTGCCAAAGGTGTTGGAAAGGCATATTTCATCCTTAGCAAGGAAAGTGTTCCGTACCCTGAAGGCTGACAAGCCTTTACACACACTGTGTTACAAGGTAAGAGGCCTTTCTACACCTTTCTTCTCAGCTAAGTTTTCCTCGTGTTCAAGCGAAGCTCTCTGTGTGACCTAAACTGCACGCAGTATTCCAGCTGAGAGGACCACAACACTTGCTTATTCCTCCTGGAAATAGCTTTTAGGATCACAGTTGTGTAGTGTCAGGAAGTGTCATCATTATTTTATGAGCTTGCTCTTTCCGAGTTGTCTCAAAGGGATGAACTCCTTACTTACATCTGAAGCCTTTACCAGCTTACAGCTGTACAATACTGTTGATTTATGGCATTCCGATCATTGAAGCCACCCAGTTAACATTGAAATATAATCCTCTTCTGTAGTGAGGCAACACCCCAACTTCATTTTATCAGTAAATACAACATTACTTTCACCTAAAAAAATCATGCTCTTACCAAAGAGGATGGTCAGACTAGTCCGACATGGCCTACATCAGGGAAGAAAAAGTTCCGTTTTATTCCATTTGCCTCTACATCCTTAATTCCGTTTTTCTTCAAATGTGCATATAAAATCAAATTGAAGGGACTATAACTGTGATACTGATTTCACTTCTTAAATACAGCATTTGCATATCCCTCACTATGAAAAACAGCATATGATCTTCAGCTGGACTGGATTCCCAACCTAACAGACTTATCGAAACCATTTGTTTGTGATTTCATCAGCTCGGAATTCTGAGGATGCTGTCCCTCGCTGCATCGCGGCCCTGCTTCCTCTTTTTCTCCTCTTTTGTGTGTGCCTGCAAACCATTGGGCTATTTGTGATGATTGTCTTTGCCTGTATAATTTGGCCTGCCTTTTGGCAATTCTCACTTCCTAAGCTCGATACATAGCTTACTTTTGCTGATCGGTCTTTCGTTCATTTTTTTTTTGCAGAATCTCTGTTTATACCTGCTTTCTCATTCGTGGTGGCTTTCTACACGCTTTGAGCTCCAGTTGGTGAAGTTTCTTTGAAAGTTTTCTATAAAAGTTCCTTTCCTTGTTTTCCACAAAGTCACATGGGGCACAAGTTGTAAGGAGAGCCCAGTGCAGGCTTGTCTGCACCAAACCGAGCATCATCAAAAATGCAACCTGGGGTGGGAAGGCTGCTGGGTTTTGGTTTTGTTTATTTATAATCCTGTCCATTATTCCATAAAGTGTGTGGTACAATATCCTCAGTCTCAAAGAACAGAAGAAGCACGTATATCAAATTTTAGGTACTCTTGCCTTGCCTTGTGACAAGAACCGTGCCAGATTTAAAGCTGGTACTGTGCTACTGGTGAATTTTCCTACTGTAAGAGTGTGGACTGGATTACCCGTTTAAAGATGCAACACGCCCAATGCTTTAAACATGCTCAGGTGCTTTTCTATCTATTGCTCTACCCCAGAATCACAGCCAGTTTTGATGTTGCTTGCTGCTGTTTCTTAGTTGCCATCCCTTCCTGGGAATGCAGACTGAAATCACGAGTGTCCAGAGACAAGATCCCAAGAGGCCCTAACGGGGGCCTCTCAAGCCAAGTGCAGTACACAGAAATAATAACATTTGCCCTGAGATGCGCGAGGATTCTGATTGTTCTCCCCAAAAGGCATGCGTTAAACTGACAATATATTTAGTGAAAGGAGGGTTCTTGTCTCTGTTAGTTAGAAGTATCAGAGAAACATGACAAATATTTAGATTCCAAAGATAAAGAGATCTAAAAAAGAGCAAATGTTTTCTTTAGCAGTATTCTCTGTTGTGTTTATAGGACTCTTACCAAGCCTTTGGTAAAAATAAAGCCTTTGTGTTTTTTTTTTTTTCTTTCCTTCCAATGCTGACAAATACTGCTATTAATTTAAGCTACATAATCTATTCCAGGGCCCAACTGTATCCCCACAGAGACAGAGTAATTCGTAATGGATGGAGGAAGTATGCCAGAAAAAGCAGGGCTTTGTGAAGGCCTTTTGCCTGTTTCTGTCATGATTTCCTGCTGAAGCTTCAAGGAAATAAACTCACTAGGACTTCTGCAACATATTTGGCTGACAGCTAGTATGCAACTCCTTGTCTTCAATCTGAGAGTCTTCCTGATGCACGGGATGAGAGGAGAGCGATCTTTCTGGGGTCGTTACTGTTGCTGGCAACACAGATGATTACCTTTCTTTCTTTGCTGATCTGCACGTAAGCAAATTATCTCATTCCTCTCTGCAGAAAGCAGCAGCCTCTTCTGACTGTTTTTTGGTGTGTTTGTGCTGAAGCAGCTCTACTTTGGTTTTGGCATGGGAGATGCAAGGGCGTCCATTTGACTAACGTGTTTTGCAGTTGCACTAAATATCAGAGAAGAAAATGACAAGTGCTTGAAAAACACGGAGTTACAAAAATTCTGAGAAAGAAATCTGTCACGTACCTGGCCTTTGGAGGAAATAATGTTGCTCTGGATAGCAGGATTTTCAGCCTGCATGGTTATACTTATTAAAGGTGGAGGAGAAGACTATTACTGGAACCAGAAAAATGCATTTTCCCCTAACTCGTGTGCTCTCATTTGCAGAAAGTATGTTTTTTTCCCACAAAACCTCATCTGCTAACCCATGTTCTGATAAGACAGGTGAAAAGGGAGTTTTTCCTTACGATCTAAAACATTAATTAGTTTTACACTAAGCACATAAGTAAAAATCACAATAAACACCAAACTTGCAGCGGGAATCTAGATTGCTGCTGTTTTTTCCCCTCTGAAACTGAAGAAACGAAATCTAGCTGTAGCTGCAGGGGCAGAGGATCCCAAATAACACGGCGCTAACCCTCCGACATCCGAGTCGTGATTTGAGTGCACCACGCTGTGATCTCCTCCTACTCTTTCCAGTCTCGCAGAAAACTGCACAGTAACGGAAACCATCAGAGCGATTCCAGTCTGCTGCTAGCAAGTAAAATTATTTTCGTGTTGTCAAAGCGATATAACATACACCGTTGTGAAGTTTCCAGAAGGAAATTACTACTCACATAACCATTGCCTTTTGTTGATGGTTCATACCAAGAAGACTGAAGGGCAAGACATTAAATCCAGCACAGGAATACGGCCTGTCAGAGCTGCTCACCTCCAGACATGCCTTTAAAGGCACGAACACCAGAAAAAACAGTGGCTAAGGGTTTTGATATTACGTAGGAGGGTTTAGATATGCAGTCATCATTAGGAAAATAGGAAAGCAGTGTCTCTCAACTAATATTAAGGCTAACTTTTTAACTTCAACTAGGGTTGAAGGCTGCAGCAGCCTCAAAACCATTCTAGCATGAGGGATCGTGGAGCTCTTGCCTCTGTCTGCCTGGTGGAGACAGCTGAAGTTGCTGGTGTGGGTGGCAGCATTGCCAGGGAAACCAGGGCAGTTCCCAGCTTCCTTCTGTACCAACGAGACGCTGAGTGTTCCTCACCTTATGCCCTTTCTCAAATCTTTCTTTGTATGTGAGCTGTGTCTCTCCCACAGTTATCTCTAAATCCTCGCTCGACTGCATGAAGACTATTTTCTTAACTGCTGCTTTGAGCTTCTTTCTGGCAAGGCTCCTCACTGTAGGCATTCTTTTGAACTGAACAAAGCTGTAGCAGATTTTTTATCGTTTATCTGTCCTGCAATGGTGCAGAATCTGTTGCATTATCTGTTAAAAAACTGACACTTATCCAAATGAAGAAAATTATCATAGTAATAATAACAAATATTATTATTTAAAAAAAAAAAAAAAACATTAAAAAGCACTAATAAAGTAGGCCAGAATTATTGCTGAAGAGCAACTGGCAATACTATAAAAAACAACAGTAAATGGTTTTCCCAATGCATGCAGAACTGGAAGGATACCAGAGAATCAGCAGAGTCAATATGATTAAAGTACACTCTGAGAAGATGAGAGCATAGCAAAACATTACCAAAAAAAAAAAAAGTTGAATAAATGTCTTATTTCTCTAAAGGCATTAGGGAAGTTTTCATGTAAGACCCCATCTTTATGGGACAGTTGTGAGAGAACCTGTGACAAACTGAAGGATCAGTAGAAAAGGCTATGATTTAAATGAACAAGATAGCCACTGAAATGGGTCTATTCTGCCAAGAGCTCTACAAGAATATAATTCTACCCTCAAACTTTGGTGTATAACCTCCTGCTTAAAGCCAACATTTCACCTGGAAATGAAAGGTAACAAATGTGATGACAATTATTTTAGTAGTAGAGTCGGGGATCTAGAGGCTGATAGACATGGCATCTGGGCTGGGGTAAGTTAATAAAGAGATATATAAGATAATAAAAGAATTAGGAGAGGCAATTAAAAATGTGGGAAGGGAGAGTCAGCACAGCCCTTAGAAAGAGGAATTATGCTTCACAAGTGAATCTGTTGGAGTTCCCCACAGGAGTCATTAAGCATGTGCAAAGGGAGCTCTGGTTGTGTCCCGCCTGAATTTCTAACACACCCGCGGTGCAGTTACTCATCAAAAACTTTTCAGGAAGCTGAGCACCACTGGCAAAAAATGGTTAAAAGGTAGGAAATGGAAGGCAGGAGTTAAAGAGAGAGCTTTCACAGCGAGGGAAGGCATCTTCCTTCCTTGGGGACTGGCAGAGAACCCAGGCTTTCAATATAGTCATACATGATAGGATAAAAGTACTGCAATGCAAAGCTTCTTGTGAGAAGGGAAGTGATAAATGTGCTATAAATGTGCTGATATCGACTTCTTTGGGGTAGTAAAAATAAAATCTGACTGTGAGGAAGGACTTAATAAGACTGAGCAACAGAGCAAGGTTACACTCCGTGTAAATAACTGTAGAAATCTGCCTAAGTTAATGTACAAATTGGTGGGCCCTGGGCTGATTATGCTGGCTGAAGAATGAGTCTTGGGCTGCCATGGCCCCAAAAAGCTGGTGGTTCAACGTGTAGCAAGAGTCCAACTGCAAACAGGACATCGGCAGTTACCAGCAAGAGAACAAGAGCAATGCAAAGAGTGCTGTGCCACAGTGTAAATCTACATCTGGGAAATTGTGTGCAGCGCACGCTTTCCCACCGCAAAAGGAGCAGAGGCAAGCACCACAGGAGGGGGCATCGTGTGAGTGCATCTCCTTACCCCAGGGCACTGCGGATGCGAGGAGCTCAGACAGGTTGCCAGTGAGCCTGGGCAAGCCGAAAACAGCACTGGGTGTTAACAAGAGATGCCGCTTCTCCCTCCAGGAAGTTTACTACTTTCTAGGTGTTGTAGCAAAAAATACTGGGCTAGATGGACCTTTCATATGACCAGGGCAAACATCTTACATTATCATCACTGCTCTCAAAATACATGTGTGTATATAGCTATATATTTTTCATCAGACCCAATCCATCGCCTCCTCTTCTCAGCAGGAATTTTGCTGGGATTTTCTGGAAGATCTGGATGAAGGTAGTACAAACACTAAAAGCGCCGCAGAGGTAGCAGCTCATTTTATTTTTTGTCACGTTAATACACAGCTCCATGTCTTAAATTAGAAGTATCTGTGCACCAGGCATTGTGACCGAGTTATGACGGAGCAGTGCTATCAGGAAGAAAGCATTCTATATTGAGAGCTACAGAGAAACTAGCCTCAGCCCTCAGAAAGGTGGTGGAGAGGACAGCAGCGTCTCAAAAGGGCACAGACAATGGAAGAAGAGCCGCAAGCTCCTTAGAAACCAAACCTAACAACCAGAGGACCCAAAACAGTCTTGTGATTGTGACTGTCGACATCTGTCCAACAACTGTGCCAAGAATTCAACTAATAAGCAAAAAACACAGCCAGAAGTGAACAAAGGAGCGTTGTCTCCTCGGGGAAGCTGTCTGGTGCTGCGCAGCCTTGCTGTGAGGAGCGCACACTGTGACAGACATAATGCAGATGACTACAAACCCCTGCACCCCTCCTCAGATCCAGGAATGTATTTCTAATGCAGTGTTTTCAAGGCGAGTTTACCCATCAAACTGTAATGAAATTATGCGAGCCTTGAACTGGGAATAAAAAAAAAGGAGCCATGAGTTGGCATTTTCAATGACTCATCAATTGGAGATGATTTTATTAGCCATAAAGGAACATAACACTGTAAAGAGATAAAATTATTTAAGCAGTAAGTGCAGGGCATGCCCCTGAAAGCAAAGACAGGTATGACATGAGACAGATTTATGTAAGGGAGCACAGGAGATGCTGAGTTTTAAGACACAGCTGACGTGAGGACCATGGGTTGTAGAGCATCACAGTATGAAGTCGGAACATAGGAGGAAAACCAACAAGGAGTAACTGCTCATCGAGGCCGACCAGCTCTGTTCTAACATCCCTCTGTGCATCAGCAACATAATGGTAAGTAGAAGGAGCAGTCACAGAACAGAGTTACTTGAACTACTGAAAGTCTGTAGGAAAAGTTTTAGAAAACATTCAGGCTACTGAACCTTGGGTAAATCAAGGTAACACAGCACAGGGCAGAATAAAATTTCCCCTGCCTGCAAGGTTTATTCCTACCAAAAATCTGAAGGGTTTGAGCTGTCCTCATCACAAACTGATTTGCAGACAATCAGTGCTCATTTTGTTTCCCCACAGATGTATTTTATCACTAGTGTTTCTGTTCTCGGTGCAACGATAAGGGAGCTTGCTTGTTTTTCCAAGCCCTATATTTTTCCAGATAAAGCCAACCACATATTTTCAGTATGAGGCAAATTTTCCTTCATCTTCCTTTACATCACCGAGTGTTATGAAGCTCATTTTCTCATTGTTTGTAAAGCAATTTGAGGGCTTCTCACAAAAGATATGATATAGCCAAGTAATTATTCACTAATGTTTGCCTTCTTCACCCAAAGCTAAATCTTCTCTGTGCATCAGGGCAGTTGCCTGGTGACATAATGAACCACTGAGAAAAAGGAGGCATTTCTCCCCAGTTTTTGTTCATATAAAACTCAGTGATGCTGGAAAACATTTCCAGTGGCTTTTCCTCCAGGAAAGTGGAGAAAATGTTGCCTTGATCAGCACTGATCTGCCTGCAGACGTAGGAGACACTCTCTGTCTCTGATGGGAACAGAACGGTGCCTGAAAAAATCATTGTGATATCTTCTTCTATTGCTGAATGTCACTTTACATCAGGAATAAAGGAGAGCAAAGATGAGGCGGCAGAGGCTGTCATTTTTATTACAAAAGCGACTCACAGAGCATTACAGCTTCTTGCTCACATAACAATCATGTGCCTCTGTCACTTCAGGCCATGGGTGTACACGGCCAGGTATGCTGATACTCTCCCCTCCCTGTCCTCGTTGCTCTTCATAAATTACTTGAAGAAACTGCAGGTCTTGGTGGTATGAAGGATGGAAAACTGCTGGTAAATTCTGCTTCTACAGAGCGTCTGAGCCTCTGACATACCCACATGGCTTAAAAGTAAACCACACAAATTATTCCCTACCGCAGCTACATTCTGATGTGCAATTTGGAGATGTTAGCTTTTGAGCCAAGCAAAGCACAACGTTAGCCTCAGAAACACCAATCACATTCATCTACACAAGTCCCTTATCAGACACAGTGGGCGAGATTCGGCTCCAGATTGAGGCACCAAGATTTACATGTGTAATATTCCTGTCTACATGTGAGCTAGCTGGGTAATTTACTGTTGCAGCCAGTGGAGTTCCAGGGCTTGATTATAGTTTTTACGTTGCCCACATGGAAATGGCTAACGTCACCTGAGATGCCCTGCAGTACCCGTGACATCTGCAGCAGGACACGGGGCCTGCACCCCCGGAGCAGCAGCCAGGGCCAGGTGACAAACCCAAGGCATTCAGCCAGCCCCGACGGGCCCCTGTTGAAGCCAGGTGTCTCAGCTCTGTTCCGTCTTTCCAAGGAGCTACTCAGCTCGTCCAAATCACCCACCCGAGCTTGATCAAATGACTCGAGTGCATTCACTCCGATTCCCACTGGTATGAAGGAAGCTCTGCTTGCAAATAAGGTACTTCCACTTAGCCACCTAAATGAAGGTGTATGAACCTGACTCCCACTCAATGGGCTTAGTTCAGTCGCCTAAACATTTGCATTTTGTGCCTTTTGAGATGCCTTAAGCGATCCTGGAGTTTCACACGGAGCTGCCAGGTATGACCTAGGCACTACGAGGCACACAGACATGGCGCGACAGCACAGAGCAGCTCAAACAGCACTCGGCATCTACGTTTAGGCACCCAGAAGAAGTTTCACGTCTGCATGTTCTCTCTTCTTCCCCCCTGCTATGATTCCATATAGTTGGTGCAGAACAACCACACCAAGCTCAGGATCTGCTACTGCACTGAAGATAGGATGTGCTAGCCATTTCCTCACGTTGGTGGTTTGCTGGTTTTGTTGTTGTATTTTTTTGTTTTACTTTCTGTGGCCTGCAAAAAAGGCCCCTCCTCTGCATCCTCCACTGTCACAGTGGTCAGTGAGACTGAGATGAAGGTCACGTTCTCAGGGTTGGGCAGGTTCATGCAAAGCCAGACCCTGACCGCAAGGCTTTCTTAAACATAAAAAGCCAGGTGGCCTCCTTGTTGCAGCCATCTTCAGTTTGTCATGGGATTGTCTGCAGGATCAGCACAGGTTGCATCCTTCCAACAAACAGGTAGAGCCCTACATGCACTGACTTCCAAATCTGACCCCAAGTTATTAAATTTGTCCCAGAAAAGAGCCCAGGTGCAAACTAAGACATTATGCTGTTCAGATGATTAGAAATGGGCTGATGCAAAACGTGGTGCCAACCTCAACTTCGTAACATACACTGAGAAAAAAGTCTGAAGTAGTATAGCAAGACCTTATGGACATTTGCTGTCAGGTGAGCCAGGAGGTTTACTTCCTGGGAAGGAGAACAGCAGGAGAAAATGAGATTTAGGAGAGGGGATATAGTTCTTTCTGCTTATCTATGCCATAGGGTACACCACACAGCAGTTATGGCTGGTAACAGCACTGCACCTGACTCATAAGCCATGCTGTCCTTTTTGCACGAAGAGCCCAACAGAAATAATAAGTTATACACAACAAACCAGAATTAGGAATGAGAAGGAATTACATGGTAAGGACATGTTTGTAATATGTGAGGACAAAATGTTGCTTTGTTTTTAAATGCCTCCATTTGGAAATCTGCGCTTGAAATCTCACACAGCCTGCTGGATTGACCCTGCTGTTGAGCAGAGGGATTGAACAAGATGAACTCCTGAGGTCCCTCCCAACCTCAACTATTCTATGATTCTGTGAAACCACAGGAATTTCTAACATACACTGATAACCATTTTTCAGATTTGTCAAGGAATCAGGAATCCACTGCAGAAAAACAAAGGGCAGTCCAAATATACACAGAGATAAGCATGTATATGCAAAAATACATGTTTCCAAAATCAAGAGAAAGGAATATTTTGGCTACAAGCTTATTCTTAGGCAATGGTGAAGAGAATGTAGCGATCAGAACTGAAAACAAAACAAAAAAGAAAGAAGCTGTAAATAACGGGTAACTAGGTAACAGCCAACAAAACTAGGAAGTTGTAAAGCATAGAAAAGTGTTAAGAGACTAAAATTATGAAGAAGGGTAAAATTAGCAAAAAGATTTTATACATGCATGAGGCATAGAATAAAACCTAGCTACAGTAGAAGGCCCATTAGTCAAAGGAAATGATAGCACTGTTAATAATGCTTCAGAAAATGCAGAAGTACTTCAGGGTTTTAGTTTATATTTGGAGGAAGGGATATGATGTACCCGCATCACATGGAGATGATGAATTAGCAAATGTCAAGTTAGCAAACAAGTCAGATGGTAAAATGCATCTGCTTGGATAAATCCTGCAACATGAACCCGCCTACATTATTGGATCCAGGAGTTGTAAAAGAGCAGGTTGTGGAGTACCTCTGGCCTATTTACATTTCTGGATATATTTTGGCATTAAGAATATCAAATGCAGCTAGAAGGAAATTCCAACAAAACTGGAAGAGTGTGACTGCTGTGCCAAAATTAAGAATGAGCAAACATATGGGGCGAGGGGAAAATCAGTGCAAGAGAGGATTTGTTTGTTTGTTGATCTCAGGCAAAACTGCAGAAAAACAAATACAGAACTCGATGGAAGCACTGGTGTATGTTCAGCGTCCACCAGTGTGATTTGTGGGAAAAAACTAACACAAAGCCACAAAAAGTGGTTGTCTTCAGCAAACCAGATTTCTCTTCGAAATGTAAAGTTTAGGAGACAAAAGCAATTGATACATTAAGAAAAAAATTTTGTGAGATGGTTGAATAAGTGCACCATGACATCATGGTACAAATGTGGCACTATAAAATAAATACAAGTGAGCCAGTGCATGGCTTCAGAACCAGCTGAAAGGTTTCAAGATGTCCTCTGTGGGTTCATCACCAAGTGGTGTGTTCCTAGCAGGGTTTTATTCTGGACTAACACTCCTGAGTATTTCCATGACTGATAAGGAAACAAAGAGAAAATAGCCATGGGTAAAATTTGCAGATGACCCAAAGATGGAGTCCTAAATAAAGATGAACCCAAGAGATTTATCTTAGCTGTGTGGAGTACTGACATACACACAGCGTGGAACAGACTGTCTAGGAAAGCAAGATGTCCTGTTGATATTAGGTTAAGCCTGGTTGCTGTTCTGGTAAGCATGCCTCAGGCAAATACAAGACATGCTTCACTCCTCATAGCACCAATTATCCCGTACACAAACACAACTTATTGCTAACCCACCTTTCTGAATGAGCCTTGATATTTACATGAACATTTGCACAGAATTACAGCTCTGATTGGAAACTCAGAGCAACTCCCCTACAACTTGTTTTCTTATCTGCCATCTGATATTTGTTATGCCCTGTGCAGCACCTGAAGCCCCGAGCAATTTCTCTGAGAGTACACTTGGCTAAATCTCATTTCATTATCACCTCTTGGGCAATTTGCTATGAATTCCTAGAGATTTCTCTGAGCCAGGATGAGCCTTGACACCAGCACGTCCTTCATACCACCATATCTGACTCTGACACTTGTCTGCTAGTCAGAGTCGTACGGTATCCTCACTTCTGGTGAGGACACGGCACCTTTGGCTAATAAACAGCCAAAAGGACACATCCCATATTTCCTTCAAAAGCATTATTTCTGCCCGGAAGGCAGATGGATATCTCCACCTCTACTCCTTTAGCCTTTGGGTTCACCAACACTCACTATGGTTTTTCACAGAGAATTCAGCACAGTTGGGTGTAAGAAGTTATTTTCCCTGGACTGTTCTATGCATTTTCACCCCAGTGCTGTTCCTAAACTGTATTTTACGTTTTTAAAGGACAGCTAGAAGCCAAAGGAAGAATTATTCATGACTAGATATCCTTGTTCAACCCATACATAGCTGATCGTAGCTTTGATGAACAGCTCTTCATTTTCTTCCCTCTGTGTTTTATATCCATGTGAAGATAACCCACTTGGAAGTATCTTTCTTTTAGCCTACCTTTTAGTCTGCTTTGTACCCTGCCCTGTTTATCTCCTCATGGGAATGTTTGTCAACACGGACAGCTATACCGGAAATAATGCATAGAACACTTTTATGCTGGTGTTGCAAAATCTAAGATATCTCACAGGAGCATTAAGGAATTTTCACATAATAAACCATTTTAAAAAAACATGTCACCCAGATTATCTAAGGTAGGAAGTACAAACTCTACCAGTAAGTACTATGGGGAAAGCTGTGCCTTTTTCTCTTATAGATCCTATATGAAAGGTCTCCGGCACATTTAAAGTTATGAATTAACAATGGCATATGCAAGCAGTACGGTTCTCACAAGGCCATTTGCTTTGCAGCATTAAGGATATATTTACACAGCATGATGCTTTACTGGGTAGAAATATCAGAGCTGGCTCTGGACGGACTGGCTCAGGAAGCAGAAGCAGAGTGGCTGCTTAAGTATTGCTTTTCATCTTGGCTAATTAGTCCAGCTAATAGGCTAAATAAGCTGGCACAGAGCTCCACAACTCTCCTCATGCTACTTTATTACTTCAGCTTTCTCATGAGAGCTAGCGCTGATGTTGCTGCTCGATCTGTTGTGCCCTAAGGGCACACATTCACCACTGAAGAAGGTGCTGTGTGTGTGCAGGGCAGCACAGGGGCTCAGGCTCCTGCTCCCAGAGGATGGCACGCTGCACACTCAGTGCCACAGCATGCCTTGTGTGGGGAATCCCATGGGCAGAAACCGCAGTCATACACGCAGTCAACCCCGTATCCCTTCATAGAATCATAGAATGGTTTGGGTTGGAAGGGACCTTCCCGAGTTAAAGGACCATCCTGCTCCAACACCCTGCCATGGACAGGGAAGCCACCCACAAGATCAGATTGCCCAAGGCCTCGTCCAACCTGACCTGGAGCACCTCGAGGGCTGGGGCATCCACAGCTTCCCTGGGCCACAGAAGGGTTGAGCCCTTCTCATGAGCAGCTGTGCAACGGGGGCTGTCATCCCAGGCACAGAGAAAGATTTGAATGTTGGTTTCCCACAGTGTCTCTGCAAACACCAGCACCGCCAGTACTGGAAAAGAAGATACTGGACAGAAAGCTTGTAGATGTCTGGTTTCCAAGCAGGCCACTGCATTGATATCCTCCGTGGAAGAAGTTGTGTCCCAGTAATCCTGAGTGTGGTGCCAGGATGTGTGTCTATCAGCTAATGTGAGCATTTCCTGCACTCCCAGACTTGTGAACTTGTTCCTTGCCTCCTGCTGACCGTGAAAGGGGAAAAGGTTCTCCCTGCAGTCTGGCATTTGGAGATCCTCTGTGTCAGACTGACCTTAGCAAATCCCTCCTGAGATTTCCAAACCCACAGTATTGCACAGAGCGTCCCTCAAAGCTGGGGATCTGCTTCACAGGGACACCTGGGGCTCAGGTGGGGTTCCTCCTCACGTTGCCACATGCCAGAGAGCTTCCTCACTGCCATTAGCCACGGGGAGATGCTGCTTCTGCTGGCTGCCCCAGCACCAATTCTCAGACTGGCCCATGCAGTTCCTGCAGTGTTCTCCTACCCTCAGGGTGTTGCAGAGCAGCAGAAGGGAAGCTGTGAACTTGCTGGGGGTGTTCCAGTGGTAAGGATTGCCACATCTTTAAAAAGAAACTTAACATTAGCTACTTGAAACCAGCCCCATCTTTGGAGGGAGATAAAGAAATGGGAAGTAAAAACACACACTGCAAGCCAGACAAAAAAAAGAAGTTCACAAAACATTTGTGAAGAAATGAAAAAATTATGCTTAATTAACACTAAAGATCTCTTCCAGTATTCATTCAGTTCACTGTGGATATCCCTTGACCTGCTTGCTCAGGAGCTGTGCTGCCCTTGACGTTTCACATCGGAGGCTACCTCAGAGGCAAAAGATGGCATCTGTCGGAGTCTCTCTCCTCCCCAGGCTCTTACAGGAGTTCCCTTCACACACAATTTGTTTCTGCAAAACTTCTTCACTTCTAACCCATTTTGCAAGGTATTTTGGTATGCCTTCTACATGCCTGTGAGCAGCATCGCCCCAAGGTGACTCGGGGACAGAGGTGCCAACTCCTGCCAGCAGCTGTGACTTCGCAGGATGCTGGGCTGGTGGCAGGGTGAGCAGGGACAGCAGGGGAAGCAGCGCTGACACCACTTCTTCCAACAGAGCAGCTGAAGGCTTCCCTCTCCCGTCCCTGCCACTACTTCTGTGAGTAATTCTGCACCTGTACTTGCCTAAGGTGAACAAGCTATCTGTGTCCAATGAAACCTATATTTTATAACTAGGTGTAATTTGAGAAACTTAGTACAAATGTGTATATGGAATTAAAGTGCGTGCTATCTACTCCCTTTTTAAATGAAGCCAGACTGGACGATAATCTGTCATTCTGCAACGTTAAGGTTTAGAGAAAACCCATCCTCAAAATCTATCTCTGAGGGATTTTGTAAGAACCCTCTGCAGGCAGCGTCTCTGATTTCACCCACAAGATAAGCATGCAGATAAAGCACAACGAGATTCTTCTGTCATGAAAAAATGGTTCAGCCCTTGAGGCGTTTGAAAGCTTCCCACATTTTGAAAACTTCACACACCAAGATGCATTTTACTACCACCCTCATGTTTGAGATATGCAGTTGTATACCTGTGTTTTCTAAGCCTGGAGATAACACAGCTGCTTTGCTGACAAAAGTGCTTGTGCCCTGCATGAAAGCAGCTTTCTTGACAGAAACCAAGATCTGTTTCTACCCCTACCTTTCACACCCTCTGTAGCTGAAGCGAGCTCCCACCGCAGAGCTGCGCCCTGCCCTGCGTGTGTTGCCCAGTGCCACCTCCAACCTCCAAGCAGATGCAGCCACCTCAAAGCCCGCAGCACCTGTAACACCCAAACCGAGCCCATCTTGAAATCAAAAGACAGAAAATCTGAGTAAAAACATGACGGGAAAAAAAAAAAGCGTGGGGAGAGAATCATTCAGAACTAAACGCTGGTGACGAGGCATGACTAACCCAGCGTAACGTGAAACGTCACAGCACTTACAGGATGTAGGAGCCACATACCGACCTCACGGCTCGGTGTCCAAAGAAACCAGATACAGAGAACAGCAACATTTGCTGAAATGACCACAGCTATGGCCAGGAGATACTGGAAATGTACTCAGCCCACTGCCGAGCTGTGTAAAGGAACCCGACAGTGGACTAGTTGGGAAATGCTTTCAACAGAGTTGGGTGAAAAAAAAAAAAGGTGAAGGAGTCTCAGGAAAAACTGATCTTTGTTAGAGCTGCTTAGGGCTAGTACTTGAGTAGATTTAGAGACTGAATTACCATCTTCTGCCAACAAATGATCTCTACAGGTTGTGCTTCAGGAAGGCAAGCTGGGCAGTATTGCAGTATGAGCTCAGGCTTGATGTCCAGAGGGTCAATCCAATGCCTTTCAGAAGGCACTGCTATCACTGGGAACAAAAATGCAAGAGAAAAGAAGTCACCTAAAAGTATGAGAGGAGAACCTAGCTAAAGACATAACTCATAAAATTACTTAGAGCACCCGAGACCAAGGTGAGTGGAGTTATTCACACATCCACCATGACAACCTTGGTAGGAGTTCAGCCTTCAGTCTTTGGAGAGCTGAAACACTATTTTGTTTCAAAGGTAAACCATCAAAACTCAAGCTGTAGGGTTTGTCTCATGAAGGAGGTAGAAACACCAAATAAACCAAATTTCAGAGCAGTTCTGGAGGGTCAGCAAACTCTAAGTTATTCTTCCTTTATTAATTCAAGTTAATTTTAACTTTCCTTCCTCCAGTCCTATCTTTTGCTAGACAGGAATGCTTATAACTAGAGACTCAGACCAGCACTCTTTAGTCCTACTTCTGCTTCAGTTCCAGCTGAGACCAGTCACAATCCCTAATTATTTGGTGGCCTTGAACTGCTTCCCAGAAAGATTATATCTCTTAAAATGGGGAGGTGTCCCTGCAACCTACCTTTAGCTCAGACCCCAGACATTTTATTCACCTTGTTCTTGGAGTTGAAGGAAAGACACCGTGGTTCTCTGCCATTCCCACCTGCACCTACTAGGTGTGTGTCCTGTAGAGGCAGGAATGTGTGTTGTGTGCGGGGTGAGACATCTGGGGAGAGAAAGACTGAGAATGGAGGAAGATGCTGTGACACGGCAGCTTTGCCAGACCCGAGGTGCTTGCCAGCCCCAGCCTGAATGGGTCCTGCTGGCAATGAACCCATTTGCCTTTGCTGAGAGGTTATCCTCAACAGGATTCAACAGAAACATAAAATTAGTGGATCGATGTACAAAAGACATGTACTTTTGAGAGGAGTTACACACATGGAAACCATGGTGCAGTAAGGACAGAGGAGATCATGGAGAACTGCCTACTGCAGTGAAGCTCCTGGGGGAGCTCTCCAGGTAGGGCAGAAGTGTCCCCACGGGGAATGAACGCAGGGTAAAGAGCAGACTGTAATTTCACTCCTTAGTTTACCTTACCTTGTACTGATTTTCTTTCAAAACTAGTCCTTCTTCTTGCATAAAAACACATGCCATGTTAGACCACGTTGTTAAACAAGTCAAAAGAAGTACTGGGTTCTTCTATGGAATCCTGGATTAAGGAACCAAAAACCTCTGAAAAATAAAAAACGTACGGTTACAGTATATATGCTTTACTAATATGTTCCATTCAATTGTTATTATGAAAAAGGAAATGATCAACACCTCAGACACTTTTCACTTGTTTCCTATATTGTTCTTCATTCTCAAAAGTAACTCAATCAAACAATCTTTACACCCACACATCCACATTAAAAAAAAAAAAAAAGGCAAAAAAAAAAAAAAAGCACAAGCCCAGATTTGACCTGCTGGTCTCACTTTTATTATTTGTAGTAACACTTTTTTATTTTTGGACTGTGGCTTATAAATGAGACTAAAAATAGCAGCCACCCCCAGATCACCGTTTGCGTAGGGGGAATGTTTTGTACACAAAACTATCCGCCTTCCTCTCGTCTCAGTCACTCCTCCTACACCTCTCCTCTGAGACAATTTTCTGTGAAGCTCAGTGAGGCATACAAAGCAGGAGCCTGGTTCTTGGTTAGTCGTGTTCACAAGAGGAAGTTCAGTCAAGCATGGCAGCTTTTGACTCCTCGTTTCGCGTTGCAAATAACAGGACGGTACTTTACCAGTTAGGTCCAACCCTGGAAATAGGCATGCAACCGAACTACTTACTCATTTCAGTAATACAGCCTAAATCAAAGGGTTACACATCGATATATGAGAATGCCCTGGCTGGATCAGATGAATTTTCCAAGGTCTCTAGCAGCGCTCAGTGTTAAAGACTTGAGGAAGGTGCAACAAACCACCAAACGGAAAATTAAAAAATAACCTCCCCGTAATCAAGATTTCCATTGCTAGATGTTCTCAGCATTTTGGCTCCCCTACAGCACTGGCCTCAGTGCAATCTCGAGGCAGGTACCAGCACATGCACTTCAGAGCACATCATCGCGACGATTTGGCGAGTCACCTGCTTGTGGTATTTGGCCATGCACAACACGCCCATGACTAAGCATTTCCCTTGCCTGATTTATAACTCTTGCATTCTTTACAGGTTGGTGAAACTACAAAGAGCACTCCAGCTGAAACCATTCTCTTGACTGTGGCACTGTATTTTCCCTCTATATTTTATACACCCCAGAACTTAGGTAATTTTTCTGGCTGGTGCTCCCTACCAAGGCAGCATTTTCATGGTCAACCCAAGGTTACATGTAGGGGCGATTAGTAAGCGATGACAACAACTGCAGGGACGAATGGGGTAAAGAAATAGGTTACATTATTTCTTCCCCTGTGAAAACCTGAATGTTTCTTTGACCATTGTGTAGGCCATTCATCTTGATTAGCTTGGTTACTAAAGATCCCAATCGATCAATTTGAGTTGTGCTGAGCACAGTATCACTGAGGGAGACACCAGCAGGACCTCGTGTACTTCATCACCTCCCTGCACACCTGAAATGTATGGGTGCTCTGCTGAGCCCTGCATCCGTGGGGACGTGTCTCCTGTTGGCAAGAGGCACCAGCTGAGCACCTCACAAGGCTTCTGCTTGAACGAAGAATCCCATGTCAGCTTTCTGACCCACCAGAGTTCAGGTAAGGACCTATTTCTGAAAGAACTCATGGCTTCTAGTCAGCTACCACCGACTAGTAGTAGGAAAGTTTTTTTTTTCCGGTCTCTTTGGTTATATGTGAGATATGATTCAAAGGAAGATCACAGCAGAATAGCAAGGACCAAACTCTGGAGGGGACAAAAATAAGAAAAGGAAACCTCCTGCTGTGTATTCTTGGTGATGGCAAAGCCTTGCACAGCCCTGTGTCCTCGTACTCCCTGATGTGCAAAAAGAGCTCAGTTCCTCAGGAACAGCAACGTAGAAATACAAATACATTGATTTATCTAGCTGAGCCTTGAAGCTGTGTTGTAACTGCTTCAGATTGTAACTGCTCCAAATGAATAATGAATATCCAACGAATAAATAATATCTTCCATAAATAAGTAGCTCTGTATTGTGCTTCTTAGTTGAAGACCCTGATTTCAGTTCAGCCACATATCTAGATAAGGAGTTGCTCTGGCAAGAACCACAGTTAAGATAAGACTAAGGCTTCGGGTTGACAAAGGGGTGTGATGTAGGGTTAAGGGTAGATGCAGAGGCTTTGCTAAGGTAATGCCTCTCACTTGTGCTAGGGTGACATCCCAATTTAATTTTAGGTCTTCATCTTATGGAGTTATTTTTAGCATCAAAATTTCTAAGATGTTTGTTGGGAAAAAACTTCGGCCCTGGGGGCTGACAAATAAAGGTCCGTACTGGAGTGAGAAGGAATCTTCTCTAAATTTAGGGCTGGCACCAAGAGAAGCATGAACCCAACACCAGTGCTAATCCTTCCTTAATTTCAGCAGAGTGAGCCCTTCCAGCTTCATCAAAACCAAAGAGCCCACAACCATGACCAACTCTTGCAATACTTGTCAGATCCAGAAGTACATAACACTTGCTTGCCTGTGCCCCCTTCCACCACCTAAACCTTAAATCCAGCTCTCTTCAAGCAGGCCCTGCCACCCCAGCCATGGCAACAACCTGGGGCACATCATTAACTTAGATCTGGGGCTGGCATGGCTCATTGGATGCCAATAGGCTGATGACTCTTCCAGAATCAGGCAACAAGCCCAGAAGTCATAAGCATATATGTTCCTGGCCACAAACATTAAAGGCCACTACGTGGTATTCAATATATACTCAAACGAATAAACTTCATGGCGAGACAACCTGGGAATAAAATCTTTTTTTTTTTAATTTTCTTTTTCATAATTATGATATTACTCTTTAAATGACTTAGAAAAATAAAAAGGTTATGAAGTCAAGGACTCAAGAGCTGGGTAACTTTAATGAAAACTAATTCATTAAGTTCATTAAGTGCATGTATGCAAATGCACTGCAATTCAGCCCTTGGTCGCATGACAACAGTATTTTCATTTGTGTTATTGAACATGTAGGGTGGATATTTCTCCCTGGTATAAGAAGAGCTATACAAGGTCTGGGTAATTAATAATGGTATAATTAGTAGGCACCTACCTAATAGATGCTGAAGAAATTGTAAAACATTTAGTGAATGAGGAAATAATTTCAGAAAGAGAAACAAAAGCATCCCAATTAAAGAAAATAGAGATTTTGAACATGCAGAACCCTGTGTTAACTTACATTAAAAAAGTTTCAAGTCATTAATCCACAAAATGATGGTCATGAGATACCTAAGAGCTGCAGATTAATGTTCTAACTATAGGTTGAATAGAATACTACCTGAATTTACAAAAGCGTTGCAAAGATGATTCATTTCAATTGGTGAATTCAGATTAATTCAGATATCACAGCTACAGAAGCAAAGAAAGGCATCGTTCTGCAGCTGGGGAAGGACTAAGTTAATAGTAACAAAATACACACTCAACTTATGGGGGAAAACAGCACGTGAACATAGAATTAAAAAAAATGCCTAGGTGCCCTCATATGGATAGTTTGATATCTTCCCAAAAAATGTAAGAAAATAAATAAACAAATAACTTCATAAATAAATAAACAAACAAAACAACCAACAAACCAGCAGCACCACCAAAAAAAAAGCAGACAAGAATGTTCCAGAAAATGTCTGACAATTAAGACTTTTTTTTTTGTTAGCAATCAGTCATTTCAGTTCAAAATTAAAAAAGAAAAAATCAAAATTCAAAATAAAGCATTGAGACTATCAATGTGCTTAAAATAAGAGAGGCTTCTTTTCCTGTGCTTAATCTGGACCTGAACAGGGACCTGCCAGAAATAAACTAGTGCACATTTTGGCACCACAGCAACCTTAGCACCTTTGCTGATGAAATATTTCAGTACCCAGCACTTGTGAGCTGGGTTTGACTCTCGTAGCCTGCTGTTCCCAGTCAATAAACTCGTGAAATCACAAGCACTTTTGGTCCTGATCCTTTCTGAAGTAATTTTCTTTGCCGAAAGATCAAACAGGCTCTGTAGTCATTCACAGGAACGTGCTTCATTGGTAATGCCTATGAGGACAAGACCAGAAGTTACTGTGTCTGATTTAAATGGGATTTAACTTCTTGGCTTCCTTGTAAGAGCAATAATACCTTCATTGTGCCTCCCCTGGAAAGTGGTTATTATAAGGAGTAATTAATGTGTGCCATATAATCCTTCTAATTCTGAGAAAATTGCTTAATAAAAGTGAATTCCTGAGGGATTTATGACCATGACTTGCTCACTTGGGACTTTCATTAAATAATAACAAAAAGCCACAGAGAACAGGAGATATTAAGCTGGGCTTCAAAGGACAGCATTTGCAAATCACAGCACTGAGCATGGATGGCTATTCCAAAAAATGTAGGGAGCCACAGCTTTCCAGCAGCAGTTGGAGCAGCAAGAACACTACTAGGAACTTTTGGTTCCTGTGTATAAAGTAATATGAACTAATAGTGCCATAAATATTAAATATCAGTGAGAAAAAAACAATTTTACATTCTCGGTTACTGTGATGAAATACCTTCTAGACACAGACAGCTGTTTCATCTTTCTGATTTACTTTAAGGATGAGAATAGCATACAGTCTGTGGAAAGTTCCTACTCCTCTGTAAATCTCACACAGGCAGCTCCATAGCCTCAAACCTAAAATACTCCTTCAATTCTGACATGTTAGAGTATTCTCAAGCAAAAAGCAACAGAAATTTAGCACAGGGGAAATTTGTTAAATTTCATTCTTCTCTGAATTAAGCAAAGCTGCTTTAGTCCCCATTTATGAAGTCAGATATTATTATTCTAGATACCGTACAAAAAGAATGGTTCTTGTGTCAGTTTCACATACAAGTGTGACAAGAAACATGGCAGAAGGATAAAGAGAGGAAATACAAGAAAATCATTACGCAGTTGGTGCAAAAGCTTATCCTGCCAGTGTCCTGGCTTTGGTCTGTTCCTTGGGGGAGGCAGCACAGCAGAGGAATGTTAATGACGGCCGGCAGGAAGATGCTGATGTATCTTGGCAAGCAATCACAAGATGCACAGAGTAAACTAGACTAAAGCCACTGAAAGATGTAATGAGAAGGCAAAGGAGGCACATCACAGGTCAGCTGAAAGCAAATCCATACATACATTTGCAGTGTTGCTATTACACCTTGGTTTAAATAAGGCCAACACCAGCTAGAGTATTAGGGAAAAGTGAGTCCAAAGGTAGTGTGCTGTAACTTTACTAGCTGTGTTTTAGGTTCGCAACCTGTTTATCCCATAAAGTGAAACACAGCATTTCCTGGGGATTCAGAAAAGACCAGAAATGCACTTCTGCAGTCATATCAGGAGACTGGGAGAGGAGAGAAGGCTTTTATAGACCATTCTGTCCTAGGGAACTAATGCCATGTAACATCAAAGAACTGCTTTCTATGCTATTTCCCTATCCTGCTTTTAAACTAAATGTTAGAGAAGATTGCTGCACATTAGTTACGTTTCTCAGGACTAATAAGAGACTAATTATGCAAACGTACAGCATTACCAGCGTGATTACAGCTAAACTCTAAGCAAAGCCTGCTTTATTAACCAGCGTGACTCAGAACAATTCCAGCATTCCTTGTGCTGTCAGAGCACTTTTGAAAGCCCAGCCGCCACGTGCCCTGTGCCCTGTCCAGCATCTGATAACTCCTCAGACCTGAGGTGCCTGCGCCACCACGTCCATGGGAATTCATTCTCACAACAGTCTGCTTATAGGAGCAGAGAGGTGCAAAGGGGCATGAAGTTAGCAGCACTCCATGAACTTGTTACCCTTCTGGCTCGGGAATTTCCTGGGCTCACACCTGCGATGGCATTTACTTTCAGTGCCTTATATAAGAGGAGATGACGCACCAGCCAGCTGATTGACTCACAGCCACAATGACTCAATAAAAGGTCAGCCTGATCCCATGTACAGGCAACGTTAAGGCTTCATCCCACCAATAAAGAACTCAACAACAAAAGTCCCATGGACTTCAAAGTGGCAAGGAGGGAGCTTTTACTCTGGGATGTTTAACAACATGGCAGGAGATAGACAAACAACTGCCCTGCTACCAAAAGGCAGTGCTGCTCTGCTCATGAATATCCTGGGCTGTGCTCAGTGTGGTTTTACTGCAGGCTGATGACATTTTGGCCACTGAGCAACAACAGTATGTCCAGAGGGCTCTGGGATTCTGCAGGAGGAGATATAAAGAGCCAAAGCAATTCAAAAAAATAAAATTAATAAACATTCTTATCTACTGACTTTATTCCATACAATAAATTAAAGGAAATAGAGGGTTTAGAAACAAGATTGTGTACTGTTAAGGGGTTTGTTTTTGTTGCTGGTTTTGTTTTTTAATTGTTTTTCAGCTGCACTTACCTCCTCCTGCTGCTTGTGTAACATATTTCACCAACTTACGTGCAGGTGACACTTCCATCCCTCTGGCCCAAGTGACATCGCCACCATGAGGAGACATCTGCGCTGCTCACGTCCAGCTGCTGGGAGGGACATCATGCATTAAACCACAACTGAGATAAAAGGAAGCACTGCGGCCTGTGGGAAGGGGGGCTGCACTCCCAGCCCCACAAACCGGACATTTGGGGCCCTTTCCAGACCCCAGGCATTCCCCCAAGGAAGCAAAGCCGAGCCGCCCCTGCCTACAGAGGAGCGGGGCTGTCCCCGGGGCAGCGGCTCCCCCTGCTGCTGGCATAGGGCATGGCTCCGGGCCCCTCTGCAATGCCTCCCGTCCTTTCCTTCTTCCGATTTAGGGAATAAAAATAGCAATCATTTATTATATAATTTATATAATTACCCCAAACCCTGCGCCACGCCGCCCAGCGCCTGGAGCTGGGGCCCGACGGGTGCCCTGCTCAGCCCAGCTCTGCTTATAGGGTGCTCCCCAAAAAGGGGGACCACAGCGCTCAGAGAAACTACCACCTAGCAGAGAACGAATTAAAACCTTATTGGTGTTTGTTGAACCAATAAATTGTAAATTGATCACGGGTTAACAACTGTAGACTGATGAGTGATAATTAGCTTAGGTTAAGGACCCGAGGGAACGGCATGGAGCTGGGACAGGGGAGGGTCAGGCTGGGGATTAGGGAAAGGTTCTGCACCCAGAGGGTGGTTGGGCACTGGGACAGGCTCCCCAGGGACGTGGGCACAGCACCAAGCTGCTGGAATTCAAAAAGCAAGAGGACAATGCTGTCAGACACGTGGTTGAATTTTTGGGTGGCCCTATGTGGAGCCAGGGGCTGGGCTCAATGATCCTTGTGGGTCCCTTCCAACTCAGGATACTCTGTGCTTCAATGAAATAATGAGATTAAATCCCCTCAGCTGGGTGTGCCTCCGCTCAGGTAAAAGCTTTCTGACACAGGGAACCCGTTTTCTTCTCCCAGAGTCTGCAAGAAGAGATCAAGTCTTGCTTTACCCAGCCAGCTCCTGTACTCCCAAGCCACCTTTCCTTCCAGTTTTTCTTCATCATTATCACTTTCAAAGAATGCAAATGCTTTGCTCCTTTTTGAAGAGGTGTGCATGACAATCCCCGCTGGGATCAGGGGTGTACATGTGTATGAGTATCTGAGAGGGATGAGATAAGGAAAAAAAGCGTGCCTGAGAACAAGGGATGTTCTGTTTTTGAGGAAATCAATCTTTGATTTGTGGAATTGAACAGCTACCAAATCTGTGCTATCTTCCCTCTGCACTCCAGGTGTTGTCCTCTTCTGTCTGATTCTCACTGCAGCCTCAGTGACGTTGGCCTTAGCTCCCAGTCTCTTCCTCCAGCCCCTGGCAGAGCAATGAATCAGTTTGGTTTTCAGTTCCTTCCAATAAATACCCACACTGTGAAATTCAGTGAATAGCTTCTATACACAAGCTCTGGCAGGAAAACTGAAGATGTGTTCTGACTTCTATCACTTCATTTATGTTTATAAAAAAAAAAAAAAAAAAAAAAAAGGAGATGAAACAGGATCAGGACCTCTTGCCTGGGAAATCGGTAGCAGTTACCATAATAAAGGAATTCCTAGGAAAAAATAACGTTAGAAGGAAGGAAGTTGCACAACTGTCAGTGGTGAAAGCAGCAGTTCTTATAACACAGCAACAGGCCTCGTAAGGGGGTGTCGAGAGGCAGGAGACCTTTTCTCCATTAACACCAGTGACAGGACCCGCGGGAACGGGGTTAAGCTGAGGCAGGGGAAATTTAGGCTTGACATCAGGAGGGGGTTCTTCACAGAGAGGGTGGTTGCACACTGGAACAGGCTCCCCAGGGAAGTGGTCACTGCACCGAGCCCGTCTGAATTTAAGAAGAGATTGGACTGTGCACTTAGTCACATGGTCTGAACTTTTGGGTAGACCTGTGCGGTGTCAAGAGTTGGACTTGATGATCCTTAAGGGTCCCTTCCAACTCAGGATATTCTATGATTCTATGATCTCATCAAGATGTATCTGAAAGCCTTGTTAGTACAGCCCCTGGTAAGCAGTCAAGCCCTGTGGGCTGCAGACAGATGAACTGTATAATTACTAGGAAAGCTGTCACAGTGGTGTGGGTTTTTTGGTGGTTTTTGTTTTTTGTTTTGTTTGCTTAAAGTGCTCAAAAGTCCTTAAAAAGGCTTACCAGCCCTGCAAATGAAGGCAATTATTATTTTCTCTACTTGACATACCAGAAAAATGAGATATGGAAAACTTAACTGACATATGCAAAACGTTCCACGTTTTAATTAAGAGATCAGAGCTCCTACCTTCGGGTAGCTGCTCATCAAGCTGCTGCACGGCTTTATGTTCTTATGTTATGTAAATTGGATTATTTTAAAGGAAGTTTGAAATGAGGCTCGACTCCTGAATTATCCTCCTGGTTTTGTCACTGGTCTATTTAACAAAATGCAAAGGGGATATGTAAATCAAGCCACACCTGTTTCACACATGATAGACTTTACCTGATTAAAGGAGACTGAAGCTTTCTGAGTTCCTGTGATGAAAAATACCAGGAACTATCACTGCTATTATATATATATTTACATTTATCCAGAAGCATGAACGTCAAGAATTGGGAAGTTTACTCAGGAGTGACTAAAGCAGAAGGAAATGGGCAAGGGACTTTACAGAGTTTCTTGGTCTGTTGAGATATGGTAAGTCTGAAAGTCGCATTTCTGATTTTGCCTGAAAGCAGCCTACTCCGTGCATCTACTGCACTGCAAGATTTGATGCAATAACACAGAACACACTGTTCTAGGAGCTGCCAGAGTTTGGGTTACTGCATAGAGCGGGAAAGATTATTCCCATTCACACTGCTCTAAATTCACATGATGTTGTGGATTTTCTGTTCCTTTGTTCAAAAAACATGTAGTATTAACATGGGCTACTGTAATACACGACTTTCTTCTACATGACAAAGATAAACAGCTGCCCTTTTGTAATTTGTTCTCTCATCTGTATTAGAAGAACAAGATGAATTTTGAACCAACATATTCAGGGCAGCTGTGAGATAAACCGTCAGATGGTTATAATTCTGAATGCATAATCCAAAGGTCAACAGCCTCCTGACAGATGGAAATTTTCTACTAGCCACCCCCATACCCCTTTTTTCTGACTTACCATGTAATTAATTAGGCTGATGCAGTCTATTAGGACCTGTACATGTGATTTTTGATGCAGTGAAAGACAGCACATACTTTTCATGGCCTACAGCTCCAGCACATTGGTGCATGGAGGGCTCACATGTCCTTTGACCTGAGCCCACCTACAGAAGCTCCAGGCTCCTCACACATCCTGCAAATGCAGGTGGGATTTGTGAAAGAAAAAGCCTCCTTCAGGCAGCCCTAGGAAAAGTCATGCATCACCAGAGACGAGGCAGTGCTTGCTGTGACTTGTATGACCAGGATAAGCACAGCATAATCTTTTTTTTTTCTTTTTTTTTTGGAAAGCCAACATGCAGAGTCCCATCAGCAATGCTGCTATGAGTCCCAGGATTTTACAGCATTAGCAAATGCTTACTGTGGAAGTAAGCGTTGGCTAACACTGGCCTCGTGTACGTCTGTGAACTTTTGAACTTTTTGCACCAGTCAATGACCAAGGCAAGAGTAAAGAGCCGCTGTGTCCTAAGAGCTGAACACCGTAATTGCAAGGATTGCAGTGACGACACTTACATCCAGAGCTGGAGTGGGAAGCTCTGAACTGATGGTTATGACTCACGAGGAACTGATTTTTTTCTTGCTATGAGCTAGCTTAATGACAACATAAAAGCAAATATTCTGGAGATTAGGAGAGTCAACGAAAAGATCCATGTTCTCAAATGGAGCCTTTGGCTGTGACACGCAAATCAAGGAGGAATTCAAAGCTTTGCAGACAAGTGGCTTTTCACAGAATACAACATAAAACATATATATGTATATATCGTTTGCCATGCTTCCTGCAATGTAGATAATGTATAGTGAAAACATAAGAACTGGGGGCCTTTCAGTACCAGTGGGCAGATGGAGATTTTCTACCAAAAAGTGCCTCTAAACATAGCTGCATTTCCCCTTGTTCGAGGTCAAAAGACATGATCAGCTTTTCAAGTGGCACATGCACTGGTGGGACAGAAACTCCTGGTGTTGCAGGCCCTACAGCCACCAAAAAAATAGGCTCTGCACCATTTTAGCAGGTCACCTGCATAGTATTGTAGTAGATCATCATTCTCAGAAACAGTAATACAGGCTTATGAGTAACCAAGTATTTTATCCTGAGGGCTCCACTGCTGAGAAGTGAGGTCTTTGCCCATGCAAGAGCAGGGCCTGTGCTCCTCCCTTGGAGAGAATATGTGACACAGATGTATGGGGAGTGCAAATCTCAGAGGGTACATGCAGCTTCAAGTCAGAAGCTAGGCATGTTGCAGGAAAATGTAATGAAAATTACACTATTCCATGATCACACAAAATAAAACCTGAAAAGGTAATAATAAATAAATATATAAAATCATCTCGCTGCAGAGAAGCTCAAATCAGCTGTGGGCTGAGCAGTGCTCACACTGGAGAGCGTTCTCCAGACTCCACATCCCACATTTTTGGTACAAGACAGGCTGAAGTACGGGCATAAGCTGCACATACGCTGTGGTTAGAGCTAGTTTCCATCTCGGGTGATTGCATGCACGTGTAGCCACGCTGTGAATCTGCACACACTGTTGTTCAAGAGAGAATATGGTGTACTGATATAAACCCCTTTGTGGTAGTTAGCACAGTGCAAACAGAACAATGATTTAAACCTTGTCAGTGATTAAAGCCCTTATCAGTGCTGTGATGTAAGTTAGGGCTTGTGATTCATCCTGACTCATGTACTCTGAATCAGTATCAGCCCCGAAGCTGATGCAGGTATGGAGATATAAAAGTACCTAAACCGGTGGTAAAGGTGCTAAAACTTATTGCAGAAATTCCGATTAACGCTGTATCAGCAAAATGCGTTTTGTGGTCTCATGTTGTGTGTATGGCTGTTATGGTGCTCTGGTAAAGCTGTAATTGTGAAACACTCCTAGGGGAGGGCTGGGGTTCATGGGGATTTCAAACACAGCTGCTGTCAGCTATCAGCTCCTCTGCACCAGCCATCACAAAGACAGGTACATCACATTTTAAGAGAGCTTTAGGAACCCATGCGCAGCAGTGAAGCCATTAATTTGTTATTATTATTTGTTATTATTTCACCAAGGATATTCTAAATATTTACCCATTCCCGCAGAGGCTGTAATCTAAGCAAAACAAGAGACACCCATCCCTTCTAATCAGCCAGTAAATTAACGACACTCGTGGAAAAGCTTATTACAAAAGCTTTTGGGGCATAAACAGTAAAGCAGCCCAGCAAGTGAGCAGTGTGTTTGCCCAGGGCTTTTTGCTTTTCCATGGTTTTTCCCCTGTAGCAGCAGGGCCTCCTGTCCTTGCTTGGCCTGTCACTAGAGGGCAATGAAGGCTTCAGGAGGCTCATGCTAGAAGCCTGGCTTGTTGAGAAACCCTTTTTTTTTTTTTTCTCATTCAGTGCGAGTTAGCCGGAACAGTGAAGTGAATACGGGCATCGCCTCTAAATCCCTGTGTTGTGAAATGGCCTCAGTCAGACACTTGCTGCAGAAAGCTGTGGGAACGCTGCTGCTCCCTCCCTCCCTCCTTCCTGCCTGTGCTCTTTGTGTATATATATCTAAAACTGTGTTTGGTGCTGCTTTCAGCCCCAGGTGCATGTCCTCAGCCCTCCCCAGCACCTCTCGCGCTGCTCGGGCAGTGTGTGGGCATGGCAGCTGGGCCCTGCCTGTGGTTTGTGCGATTTGGAGAGGCAAAGCCCATCCCTCTGGTGAAGAGAGGCCTTTGCTGCTCCTGCCTGCTCAGCAGATCCCCACAGACGAGAGAAAGGCCGGGGCCATTCGTTTGTAGCTTTCTGTGCAGGAGGGGAGGGGGAGGATAGTGTGGGGAGCTCACCAGGCAGCATCTGGCTCTGGTGTCCTGTGGCCTCCACCGTCCCATGGCTCCATTTGAGGCAAGCGGCCTCCCTGCCCAGGCCCCAGAAATGGCATTTCTTTCTTCTTTCCATTTCTTTTTTCGTATTGCAGGCAGGTCTCAGTAGAGTGTGGGCCCCTAGCAAAGAGAAGGAAAGAAAGAATTATTGTCTATTTATCAAATAGAATAATCTTTTTAACAAGATTAGAAGCATGGGAAATACTGGTTTTACCATTTTTTTCTGTGTGGATTTTCACATTTTCTGTTTTTCCAAATGCTATATTCATTACTTTTCCCTCCAAAAAACCGCACTGTACAGTAAGAATTGTAAAAGAATGGGATCTGAGTACTTAAATGGGGCTTATGAAAAGACGGAGAATGACTTTTTGCTCAATCAGACAATGACAGGACAAGGGGGAATGGGTTTAAACTACAATAGGGGAGATTTAGGTTAGAGGTTAGGAGGAAATTCTTCACTCAGAGGGTGGTGAGGCCCTGGCACAAGCTGCCCAGAGAAGCTGTCGATGCCCCAGCCCTGGAGGTGCCCAAGGCCAGGCTGGATGGGGCTTTGGGCAGCCTGGGCTGGTGGGAGGTGTCCCTGCCCATGGCAGGGGGTGGGCACAGGATGATCTTTAAGGTCCCTTCCAACCTGAGCCATTCTGTGATTCTATAACTCTTGCGTTATGTATATGTATATTTACACATACACCATCAGGCACATATTCACACGATGACTTCAGAGTGCTTCTGGCTCACAAGCATGGCATTTTTTCCCCAGTAACCTTCTCCACAAGGCTGTGAAAAGAATGGACCAACATATGGTTATTCTACAGCCCTCTGCAGATATTAATTTAACAGACAGGCAGTTGAAGCGAAATAAATAAATAAATATCTAGAAAATGTTTTCTGTAAAAGTACATTTAATGCTGAATAGTGGTGGCTTAGCTTTATCCAATTTAAAATCCTCCTAGGCTTTTATTTGGCCTTTACTGAGGGTTAACTGAAATTTATTTGGCCTCTCCTTTACTGAGGGTTAACTGAAATATAATTTCATAAGAATAAAAATATCAGCACAAATGTGAAGGCCTTATAATCTTGCAAAAAACTTTACTTACAGAAAATATTGACATTATGATTCCGAGTAGCACAAAATGATTTTGAATGGGCCACTATTAAACAAATTAAAGCCTGTCTGTATTATCATGATTCATGTTCTGGAGATTTATTTGACAGGCAGGATCCCAGCTGAACCATAAAAAGGAAAATTCTTGAAAACATTTTTTTTCCCAGCAAAGATAATGATTAGATCAGTTCTTACCATTACTTATTACCGTTTTACTCTAGGGCAAAGTCTTGAAGAGGGGTCACACATCTAATTTCCATTGTGCTCCAAGACCTTACAAGGTAAGAGTCTGCTGATAAAATAGACAAAATGGTAAAGAATTGAAGGAACGGAAGGTGGTGGTAAACTAGAGGGCTGTTTTGATGTCAGATCAGTAAACTCTGAAGTCCAAACTACTTAGGCTATGAAGAAAGACACACGAGGCAAATACACTGAAAATCTGGAGTATATGACTAAGAGCATAGGTGTTACAGTAGCCTGAGGGATCATAAAATACTAATTAACGTAAGGTAATCTTTTTGAAGTGGGCTGATGAATCTACACTGAAATTTCTGCAAACACTTAAAATTATTTTTTAAATTTGTATTTTTTTGTTATTAATTTAAAAAGTTTTAATTTTAGAATTAATTTAAATAGTAAAGTGGATTAAATCTCACCATGTTCCAAAACAATCTTAAACCAAATGCTGGTGCTCCAAGCACCTAATTTTTTCTGACAATTGAATCAGACTTGCCCGTTGCAGAGCTCTGGAGAAACAGGCACACAGTAATTACATGAACTAGAAGGTTACAGCTAATACACCACAGAAAATTGTTTAGACAGTGATACCACACACTTTCACCCCAATCATATGATAGTTTTACCAAATGAAACAGTTTCAAATCGGTGCAATCACAAGAAGGAATTATACAGATGTCCTCTTATGACACACTCGCAGTGCATGCTGTGTTACATTTACGTAAACGTAACACGAAACTACTCAAACTACGCGCACAGATCACAAAAAGTCCTTCCCAGGACAACCCAGCGCAAGGGAAAGCACCCATCTGATGGTGGAAAATGACAGCAGAGCTATGAGAAGTCACAGCGCAGAGCGGGGCCTTGCACAACGTTATGAAGATTAATAAACCCAAATTTTAGGCTGTCTGAATCGACTACTGCCTTCCACAGCTAGTCAAAGGTGCTTTTAAGGCATTAATCACAGCAATGGAAGAGCTGCAATGGTTTCATGAAGATCAATCGTGGACGCTTTGTGGATTTAGATCAAAAGCATGCATTTGCATCAAATGCAAACTTCAGAGGTGGGGGTGCTCCGACTGAGTGACTTCTCTAATCAGGCAGGAATTCAGATCTGGCAAAGATCAGTGCTCTGTGCTGGGTGTCAAAGGCAGCTCCCAGAAAACCCACTGCAGTGAGAGAAGATCTGATCTGCTCAGCGTTTTATGCTTTGGGTCGCCACCTTACATTTTATCAGTTTATTTTTAAAGCAATTTCTGCGTTTCATTTACTGAGTTAACCTAATGAGGTGGTAAATGCACATGAGGATATCACACAGCGCACTGATTACGTAAAGGTGGTACTAATTGCTTTTGAGCAGAAAATGCAAAACAGCTGTCTGCTCGCTGGGCGTGCTGTTCTTGCCAGAAAGAACCAGAAAACAAAATCCAGTGCATCCAGATGCCAACAACCTGGAAAAATACCAGAACTTCTCTGTGGATCAGGAAAGAAACGTTTAATACAACATATCTGTGTTTCCAACACCAAAGAACAGAAAAATGCTGTGAAAAGGAAGGGAAATTGAGCAGTCAGAATTTCCACTGGTTCCTTCTGCTACCAGCCATTTCCTTTCTCCTTCCTAGGAGTCCCAGCTACTTACTCTCACCCAAGACAGTAGCCACAAGGAAAGCAAAGAAACTGATAAAAGATGTAATGTAGCTTTTCGTTGTCAATACATTATTGTAAAGGATGTTTTGTGAAAAATCTCACTTTCACACAAGAAGATGATTGTCAGTTTGCCACACCACTTCACTGCGTGATGTTCTTCTGATTTCAGTTTCCTGAAATTGATGACAGCTTTTTTTTTTATTTTTTTTTCTAACAGCATCATTTCTAACTTCCCCCATAAACTCAGTCTGACCTCTCAGCCATCGGATGGAGACTCTTTTCATTCTTTTAAAATAAATCAGTATAAAATTTTAATATACATCAACAGGTTTGGTACTATTGTAACAAAGCAGAAGGGAAGTGGCAGACGGCTAAAAATGAAAGAGTTCAGGACAGAAACAGAAACTTGAGCAATTGTGGGAAAGGACATCACATTGAGGCTGTGAGTATAAACTCTGATGAATGATAAATTTACTTTCAATGGCTTTCCAGCAGTAAGTTTAAGTTAACCAGTTCTGAAGTAGAGGTTAGAGTTATTTGAAATGACATGAGAAAAAAAAAAAATCTGTGAGAGGAAGAACTGAATCTCTGGTGCACAGTTTGCCTCCTTCTCTAGAACAAAAGTGGAGGTTTTTCCTACCCTGGCTACAGTAAATAGCATTACTAAAAACACAGTAGCCTTTACTGGTAATAAAGAAGGAAACTGAGAGGCAGCGTGTAGAATGTAAAATATACTATGGGAAAATGGTGAGGGGCGAAACTTGTGAAGGAGCACATTCTCCTGTTGATGTGAAAGCGTTCATTGGCATTTGCGTTTTTGATTCACCTTTATCTTCTTTCTAGAGAAAAACACACGGAAATAGTATGGAAAAATAAGTGATACTATCAGAACTTGCTTATGAAACAGAACTACTTATCTTTACAACTAACAGGTATTATAAAGGATTCACTTTGTCTCTTATTTATCACATTCTTTTTGAAAAAAAAAATCAGCACCCCAAAATTTTATACCTAGATTACATTTCTCTATTTTGGCTCCTTTATGTCTTAATATACCTGATTTTTTCACCTTATGTTACTAATTGTCCCTTAATTTCTCTTCATGCAAGGTTTACTAACACTAAAAGCTAAAAGGGGAATGTGAATGAGCCACATAACATACTACTTTTTTATTATTATTACACATAAATCAGTAATTTGGACAAATATCAATAATTAAGCAGTGATAAATGAAATCAGTTTCAACTTCCTGGTAATTGGACCAGTTAAGATGTCTGTTCTGCTTTATTCAACATTTCATAAAGGGCTCTACCGAACACATTTATTAATTAGGCTACAGGGACTCTTCTTTTCTATATTGCGTAAGAAAATTCTTCAGAAAATCTGGCCTCTACATATATGAGGCAAGTCAATTTATTAGCCTGGGGTGACAAGCTTGGTAAATTCACTGTATGCACTTCCTTTTAGCTTACTGAAAACCAAACATGTCACAGTCCCCTATTTAGATCACAAAAAAGTACAAAAGTGAGACAGAGAAAAGGAACAATCAGTAATGGGGAAATGTTTACAAAACTTACTGTAAAATATGATTTGGTCCTCTTTGTATTACAGCATTCATACATCTGTATTGAACGCTGAAATAACTTTTTTGTTTTGAGTAGGGTGACAGCTCAATAAAAGTCTATACTTTTCCAGAACTTGCTTGTTTCGTTTCTTGAAGCCCAATAAGAATTTTTCTCACCAAGAACTACTATGGAAATGCTCCTGTAAATAATAAAATCCTGTTGGCTGAAAGTAAGTAAAAACCACAGGCTTTCGTTCTTGTGACTAATCTAGCTCGAAGATTTTTCACAGGTCATTTTCCTGCTGATAACTAAAGTAATCTTCCTATCCTTTCTGATTTTATGGAGAAAAATAACCAGAAAGTGATCTTGAAACTGATTATAATGTGACCATTTAATCTTGGCACCCGGTGAGTTGGAACCTTGATCTATTACGGATGAGTAACACACAGGAACGGCCTCTGATCCCTGACCTGTTAGTGAACTATCCAAATATTACTGGAGCAAAAATCGCTGAGAAAAATATTAGTAGGATGACTTCGGTTTCAGTTTCTCTTCAGTGTAGTGACTCAGGGGATGTGTGAAGTAAATGGGTGTAAGGAATTAGGAATGAGATCTATAAAGTTTCGGTACGGGATTGTTTCAAACAAGGCTAGATTATTTCTGCCATATCGAAATATAGTTTTAGGTAGTGTTCTGACACACAGGGAAGAAACCTGATAGCCCTGAACATACAGAATGATCCACTTTATCATCTAGATTTCTGTAATATGTTCTATCAGCCTTGCACTATATATGCAAAGGCTTCGCAGTGAGGCATACGCCATGCATAAGTGTGAACTGATAATATAAAACCAGCCCCTACAATTACACTATTATTTCCATATAATATTTTAAAATACAATGTGAACAAAGTTTTGACTCTGAAATGTTCATATCAAGTGGTTATTTCTTTTAAAAACTTTGTGATTATTTTTTATGGGAAAAATCTATCTTTACATGGAAATGACACGCTAAGGCAATGGGATCTTCCATATGTTTCAAGGATGCCAGTGGGCATGCTAGCGCCCATTAAAGCCACTTCAGATGAGCACATCAGAAGGAATACAGCCAGCTCATTCTCACAAAGATCCCAAGTTATAAAAATGAAGGATCAGCATCACCCTAGCAAACAGCAGCGGAATCAGAGATGTCGGAACTTCCATGCCCTATAAAAAATAAGGGATCCCCCAAAAAGGATTAAGAAAACCCAGAATGCTGAAAACAAACTGTAAATGATCTCCGTAGTTTTTTTCACCTTGCTTTCTGTTTGCTGTTGGCGATGGGAAAGAATCGCTAGATGTTCCATCTTCACCACAGGGCAGTATTCTTCTGCAATCATCAGCTGCATCTGAGTAAGCAGAGCTATTTTTAAATCGCCAGCCACCTAGCTCAGTAGAGCAGTCACACAAGTGCAGAGTCATTCACAGCGCGGGGAATCACTTCTCTTGGTTTGCAGCGTCATACCAACGGGAAAGGCACACAAAGAGTATCCTACAAATTTTCAAGAGCCTATGACTCAGTATCTGCTTCAGACTGATCGCCCTTAGCCACACCAAATCTTCTCTGAAATTTTCCTGCAATTGCCCTAATGGTTATGTCCAGTCTCAGGACAATGTCTTTCAGTGGTGAGAAAATTTCAGGAAGACATGAGCACAGCTGTGACTGCCACTTTCCTGGCTGACACATCGAGGACTGAACAGGGGGGATCCAGAGCAAGAAACGTGACATATTCTCAAGCTCTGAAACCCACGAGCTCAGACTGCCCTCTTACAACTTCTACTTTTTTGTGGATTGGCACACAGACTCACTGCGTACTCACAGTACTTGCTGTGTGCTCACAGTACTCACTGTGTGCTGCTACACAAATTCAACAAAGTTCAGAACACTGCAAACCAAACAGAATCAAACGCCCCATCCTACAAGTGTATCATACCTCATTTTCCCAGTAAGCATCCAAGGAGCAATGCACCTGATTCACTGAACAGACACTGAGCAGCCTGGCCACTGTACGTGGATCGCTGTGATATAAGACACTCAACCAAACAGCAACACGACTCACAGATTAAGATGAAAATTCAGTGAATCCAAATAGACATGCGCTTTACGGAGGGGGCCCGGCATCATTTCTGGAAGGATACACACATGGCAGGGTGTCAGGGTGTGTACTCTGACCTCCTGACATAAATTTATTGATGTTTAGCACCACCTTTTAGAATTTATATTGAAATGCTTGAGGAGTGACAGTGTTGAATGTTGCCAATACTCTACTGACACTGTGCTCTATTAGGGGAAACTCCAATGCTATAAGCAAGCTCCTTATAAAAAGCTGGGGAATTTATTTCATCATGAAGTTGGATTACTCCTGCAACCTCATCTACCAATTGTCCAAACCGCATCTGCGTTAGCGTGCTCCTGGGTGTGTTTTGGAGATAAAATAAGGAAATTTTTAGAGCGCAGCTGAAGGAACAATTTGCTCAATGCCCAGACAGCACGCACGGGACTGTGCTAATGTTTTTTCTCTTCCAGTAGCCTTGCTAGCAGCCTTCTGTGAAGGAGTGTGCCAAATGTAGGAGTTATATGTCCAAACCTGTACACCAGGGAGCAACACGAGCAGGTGGCTGCACAAAGAGGATGAGCAGGGAACCGAGGGTGATAGCAAAGCAGGCAGGGGCAGTGTCCTCACTCACAAATCCCGCAGTCCCAGGGGACCCAGGTAACAGGATCAAAGCAGCTGCTCCTCCTGGGGCTCCAACAGCAGGTAACATGGGCTGTATGGATTGAAACTGAAAAAGTTAAGAGCTCCTTGCACAAACACTAGGGATGCTAACCACAGACTGACTGTGTGTATGTACACTTTTAAAGTTATGTCAGATTTGTTCAATCCAGCCAACACCTGCAGCCAAGGCTGCCTGCCTGGTCTGGGCAGCAGGGCAATCTGCCTGCTGGTCTTTCACAGAGGCAAGATACGTGGAGAAGGCCAGCTCTCAGCCCCTTTTGTTACAGGCCCTGTCACTACATGCCTCAGCAGTGTTGAGGGATGGTTTTCTCTGCTTCAGCAAAGGAGGGAAATTATGGAGAAGCAGCCTTTCTGAATGGTAGGTGTCACACTGGAGTCAGGATGGCTTCTGCTTATTAACTGCCTGCATCGTGCTTTGGTGCACCACCAGCCAAGGGTACGTACTTGTGACTTGTGTGAAACACAAGAGCCACAGGTATTTCCCACTTTGCTTCCACACCAGTTGCTACTTTCACACCTCTTCCCATCTCATCTTCTGCAAGAATCGAACAGCAGCATAAAATTTCCAA